TTTGTTGCCAGAAGGCGGTGGGCGGCAAAGTGGAAGGGGAATATGTTGCACATTGCATAATTACTAGACTTCTGCATGAATGCATTCAAAACGACAAATGAATCACTTATTCTAAAAAGTGGGCACACTATTTTTTCTGCATAGTATATTTGGGTGTGAGTGAATAGGGTAGTATTGTCTGTTTTGATTGACAGTAGTCTCACTCATTCCAGAGTTGTACAGCTGTTAATGAGGACAGCAAAATTGGTGTGCAGCAGTGATGCTTTTTTTTACAGTAATTTTATTTTTTATTATTAAAATAATAGTTTTAAGGCATCTTTGATTATTTTTCCTTCGTCATTATTGCTTTCCTCCGCGGGAGCTCACCCCTGGCGGAAGACACGTTCAACCCAATGGAGGCATCGTCCACTCCAAGACACTTCAGACCAAGCGCTGAGGACTGGGCAATTGCCAAGTCTCTAGTCTCTCCGGAGAGACTTAAATGGGCAATTGGGACCTTCCAGCCATTTAAGTCACCTGGTCTGGATGGTATCTCTCCATCATTCCTGCAGCAGGGACTGGATTTACTCCTAACCCGCTTAAGGAGACTGATGCTAAGCAGCCTAGCAATTGGACACATCCCAAATGCGTGGCGTAGAGCTAGGGTGGTCTTCATCCCCAAAGCAGGGAAGAAAGACATCACCAACCCAAAGTCCTTCAGACCTATCAGCTTAACCTCGTTTTGCCTTAAAACGTTGGAAAAGCTGGTAGACTACCATATTAGGAGCACAGTTCTTAAGGACTGTCCGCTGCAACCCACGCAGCACGCATACAGGGCAGGTCGTTCAACAGACACTGCACTGTACCAACTTTGTCACACCCTTGAAGGAGCAGTAGACAACAAAGAAGTTGCAATCTGCGCCTTTTTGGATATAGAGGGAGCCTTTGACAATGCGTCGCATGATGCTGTCTTAGCGGCCCTCGCCAGAAGGAATATAGACGCGACAACAAGAAGGTGGATTGGAGCCTTGTTAAGCTCCAGACAGGCAATGGCGACCATTGGTAACAGCACAATGACCGTTGCCACAAGCAGAGGATGCCCGCAAGGTGGAGTCTTGTCTCCTTTACTGTGGAGCCTACTAGTAGATGAACTACTAAAGAAACTCGCCGACAGAGGAATACAATGTCAGGGCTATGCCGATGACATAGTAATAGTAGCCAAAGGGAAATTTGAAGAAACGCTTTGCGATATTGTCCAACTCGGACTCAAGATAACGCTCGACTGGTGCAGGGAAGTTGGGCTTAACCTCAACCCCGCAAAAACAGTCATTGTTCCTTTTACAAAGAAGTACAAACTGAAGAAGATGAGACAAATCATACTACTAGGTACTCCCGTAGCAATAAGCCGGGAAGTTAAGTACCTCGGAGTTACCTTCGACAGAAGGCTAACGTTTGCAACCCATATGCAAAAGACAGTGGATAAGTGCCTCAGGGCTCTCTTCACCTGTCGGAAAATTGCAGGGAAATCTTGGGGGACCTCACCCCAAATTATCAGATGGTTATACCTTATAATTGTGAGGCCAATACTCACATATGGGTCAGTAGCCTGGGGTAAACGAGCAAGGCTCGTTACCGCACAGAAACAGCTCCAAAGGCTGCAAAGACTGGCATGCATATGTATGACAGGAGCAATGAGAACCTGCCCCACTGCGGCACTGGAAGTTCTCATGGAACTCACACCGCTACACTGCGTAGTAGAGTTACAGCGAAAGGCCACCCTACTAAGAATCACTTCTTGTGGGAATGGCAGTGACCGCATCCTTAGTTCTAGGGATGCAGCAAAACTACTAGTCGAACTTCCCCTGAGCTCACACCCCAGGGACGAAATGACAGTAGAATTCATCTTTGAAAAGAATTTCTCTGCTCATCTGAGCAACAAGAAAGATTGGACCACCATGAAGGAAGTACACTCCATGGCGAGTCACACTATAGCATGGTATACGGACGGGTCTTTAACACACCAAGGCACTGGCCTTGGAGTAGTAGGACCACGAATTAAATACCATGAATCGTTAGGCCAATACACCAGCATATTCCAAGCTGAAGTTTGCGCCATAGGACGGTGTGCAGAGCTCAATATGAAGCGTGGGTACACAAACAAGGACATTGCGATCCTCTCGGACAGTCGAGCGGCAATTACTGCACTATGCAGCAATAGAATCACTTCGAAGCTGGTACGAGAAGTAAGGACAAAGCTGAACCTTCTGGGCAGCAACAACAGGCTGTCATTAAGATGGATTCCAGGACACAAAGACATATCCGGGAATGAACTAGCCGACAGGCTAGCAAAACTAGGGGCGGAAAGACCCCTTATAGGACCCGAGCCTTACTGTGGCATAGGCAGACACACAGTCAAAGATTACCTAAGAACAGAAGAGGTACATATGAGGCAAGCCTGCTGGGTAGACACCACAGGCCAAAGACAAGCCAAAACCCTCATCGTCAATTATGACATGAAGAGGTTTAAGAAACTTATACTACTAGGGAAGAGATCACTTAGGATAGTTACCGGCTTACTAACCGGACACTGTAAACTAAGGAGACACCTATTTAATATAGGGATTACAAACAGGAAAACATGCAGATTCTGTGATAACGAGGACGAAACCTCAATACACATAATATCAGATTGTCCAGCACTAAGTAGCCTGAGGAGCAGAACCCTCGGGTCCAGGTTCCTTACACTTGGGACCTCTGGAAGCATCGACCCGATAAAGCTCCTTAACCTTATCGAAGGAGCCGGGTTGATGGGTGAGCTCTAAGCTCAGATAGGGGGTACAATAGATCCAGTTGGGTCGAGGTAACCTTTTCCCCCCCTAATAATAATAATATTGCTTTCCTCATAAGTAGGAATGGAGCCAATTAATTGGAGAGACTTTTCAGGCAAGTTATAATTATGACAACATAATTTATGACGACGCAATCCAAATCTCAAGAAAGAACACATGTACATACATGTATTTATAAGCGGTAAGCTTTTGAAAATATATGTAAGTATATTTACCTGTTTGCCAAAATGGCATTTAATGAATCTACCTCCAAACGGTTCCTAATTTTGGTTTTCACCAAGTTTACTTGGCTAAAAGCTCTCTACCTCAGCATTTGACCATGGTAATGAAAGCAGACTGAGAGGTCCTCATGGGGGTTGTTGCCTGCAGAATCCCGATACCTCTTCCCTTCTGACCAAAATGTTGAAGTATTTTCAATATTTTCCCAATTTATTAGGTGAATATTGGAATATTGTGAAATTATTTTGCTTTTAATCTTAGAATTTATTGAAAATATATTTAAAATAGGCAGAATTTACCCTTTTTGAAAGTAAATAATATTAGATTTTATAAAAGGACAGATTTCCGGATGAAAAATCTAAAAAAGGACAGATTTCAGGTATGCGGATGATTTTCAATTTTTTCCGGATGAAGGGTTAAAAACAGGACAGATCTGTCCGGAAAAAGGACAAATTGGCATCACTGGTGTGCAGTAGTCAACGTACTGTACAGTGTTTTGGTGTGCAGTTGACTTACTGTACAGTGAGTGAAACTTCATGACTGGTACATACACACATATATGTATAGTTCTCGTGTGTATTTATGTCCGATTAAAAAATTGTTTTGTTTTTTTCGTTTTAAATGTATTTATTATAAAAAAAAAATTTTAAAATTATTTATATTTAAATTTTAACTAATTATAATAATTATTTTATGTTATTAAAGAATCTATATTTAAGTTATTAATATGGTAATGAAGGAACATTATTTTGTTTACCATGTCTTCAGTGGTGGCAATTTTTGACCGTTTTTCCAAAATTAAATTTTTGGCAACAGAAAATTACTGCACTCATCTGCACAGTTGTTCACAGTCAACATACGAGCTGTACAGCGTGTTCAACAAAGGACAAATATAGTACTCCTTACGAAGAGTACAACCATATACTGAACTCACTCGAAGTGAGTACACTAAAAATGTTGTGCTATCTTCTTCTGACCTATAGAGTATACTGTACAGTAAAGAATGAGTGCAGTGTTTTTGAAGACACTACACTACTGTACAGATCTGTTATGCCACAAATGAGTGCATTCATGCAGAAGTCTAATAATTACTATTGACCTAGAACACACAGTCTTTCTCTCGGATACGTTATCTTTTTCCCGACAGAGAAACAGGATTTTGTGCAATAAAAGCAAACATCAATTTTCATTTATTGTTTGTGTGCTTACATAAAGTCATTTACCCATCTGAATTGTCATTTTTTTTCATTGTCCGTAACCATGCGTTGAGCTTTGTCATTGAATCGCTCTCCAAAGTCTGGCTTTAGCCAGATCTGGAAAAACTGGAGCATGCTTCGTTTCGATTTGGGCCTCATTTTGGGCATACGTTCGTATTTGTACATATGTACATATTTACTTCAGTTCATATGGGCAAGGTCGTCGGCTTCGGATGGGTGGGTAGGTGTCTCTTTGGCCTGGGTGTGTGGAGCCAATGAAGCATTTCGATTAGAGCTGAGCAAAGCCGTTGCTAAAACAAACTAGTTCGGCTAAATGACTGGTAATTGTTTTTAATAGCAAAAGGTTAGTATAGTGAAAGTTTAAGGGGATTCCGTGTAATGGCGGGCAATCAAAAACCCATTTATTAAATTAATGTTTTGCTCTTCATATTTTATCAGAGCTTCTGTTAAACCGAATTCATTTTCTTAACAAGATTTTATTTTTATTATATTTTTATCTTCATACAAAGAACTCCTAAAAATACGTATCTCATTGACATGAGCTTCCTGCCCTCCCGCATCATCTTTCAATTTCGAGTCAACTTTTCGCTGGGGATTTTGGGGATTTGCCGACTGCCGCTCAAATGTCACGGCAGCCACTCGACAGTGAATGATGCTTGAGGACTTGAGCCATTGACTTGCCACTTTGAATAGCCCTTGACTAATCCCCTACTCGATTTCCGTCTTATCCTTGCAGCCTGTGCGTTTCGTTCGTTCCACGCTTGTGACCCGTAGCCCACGTCCACTTTTGTGGCGTGTGCAACCCGAAGCCGCCAAGACGACTTACTCGATAATGAAGATGAGCTCGCCCAGGATCATGCAGCAGAAACGGAGCAGCAAGTCCTCCAACTCGTCAAGGGTCTCGATGACCACCTCGACGGCGGAGGAGAACCTCCTGGAGTCGAAGCTCTTCAGCTGGATGCGTCTCTTCCGCTTCGCCTCGCTGCTCTGCCGCGCCGAGTAACGGAGCTAGTCCATAAGATCGAGATCCCCCACGAGATCCTTCAACCCCAAAAATAAAATGTTAGGAGAAATACATATAACAGATACTCGAACTAGTTGCCGCTTTTCAGTCAAGTTTTCCTATATATAAAAAGAGACACAAAAAGATAAAACACCAACCTCTTGTCACCTTAACTTTTCCAGCAATGTAGAGAATAAGTATTACAAAATGAGTAAACAAGGTTACATCTCTTCTTATCAGAAATACCACGTTAAGTTTAAGCTGAAAAGCAAGGAATATCCACCCTAAGAAACACAATGTTTATTTTAAGCTCCTTTTTGGGAAATCGAAAACAATTTTCTTTCTGTTAGCTCTTCACACTTAAGTCAATTTTTAGTGTAAATTCCGTCGCATCGGAATTTCTCGCGCCTTTCGTACCTTTTGTATTGTAATAAGTGAAAAGATAAATGAGACACTTACAAATTGCAAAACTACAAGCTAATAAATATTAAATCATAATCCATTTATTGCGTTTATTCGGGTTTTATTAGTGCTTAAGTTTCGAGAACAACCGACTACAACATGAGGTATATTTTTGTATTTACAACACTGTTTTGCGTGTCACAAACAAATAAAATAGCAAACATCAAGAGAAACGTTAATGCAAGGCTATTAAATAGATAAATACATATATTACTAAAAACAAAAGCGAGAAAATGCAGTACTAACAATAACAATACAATGTATACATGTAGAGGAATATATTTACACATCCAACTCGAATCGGAGTCTATGCAAATGCGCTTATCCAATACTGAAAACACACACAAATATTAAAACTCATTCACAATAGTTAATCCAAGCCCAGCAATATGAGAAGTGCATTTAACCCAAAGAAGTTGCCAAACGACAGTGTTGTTACCACATTAGCAATGCAAAAACACAATAGCGAAAAACGTATCTAAAATGATGTACAACCTCAGAAAGTAATAAAAAATAACAATGAAACGACTACATCAACAACAAAATAAACAAATACAGTTATCAGAGATTTTCGAAATTAAATTTTAATTATTAATTAGTTAGTAAGCCAGAATGCAATCCTGCAACATGAAAATAACGGTAATAACGGTAAAAGCCAAAACAATGAGAAAACTGTACTAGAACATAGCAATATCACTGCAGCAGATAATTGTTGAGAAAAATGCAATAAATCGATATCGATCAATAAATAAAGTCTTTAAGCTGTTAAGTGTTCAATGGAATAAAAGCAATTGGTTTTTGTTTTCATTTAAATAGTATGGAAAATAATTGCAGCAAGCATTGGAAAATTTGATTTATCAAAGCTCTCCAAGTCCAACGAAATCCTGCTTTAAATCGTGGCGGGAAATGTTGGCGCCCAAATAAGCCCGTCCGTCCAACAGGGAAAATTCCATGATTTTCCGATATATACTGGATATATCGGGATAAACTATCGTATCTGCAGGCACGAACAAGTCAGCTGTGTTGTGAGCAGTGGTTGCAGTGGTTCACTCGGTGGACTTACATAGATTTCCCATTTCGTTAACACCAGAAGCTGCAACATCGGATCTGGAGGAAACAATATCAACAAGTTTTTGGTTCTACAGTGTCACCACCGGATACACCACCGGATCCACTTGCCACAAATAATGCAACACGCAGTGGGAACCCGCAGCATCGACAATACCATCCAGGAGCAACACCAGTTCCTGTCTAGTTTGTCAAAGTTGAACGGTGAGAATGTGGGTTTATTTATTTTATAATTTAACGACTCCTTTTGTTCCAGAAAAATGGAGGAAATATGCCGAGTTTGCCTGGGAAGCTGTGATATTATGGTTAATATATTTGAAGGGAAGCAGGAAAATGGACCAAGTATTTCGGATATGATCGCTCAGTGGTCTGGATATCATGTTGTGAAAGGCGATTCCCTTCCCGAAAACATTTGCCTAAATTGCTTGCAAGATGCACGAAACGCATTTGACGAATTCGGTGATCAATTAGTAAAAAAGGAACCCAGCGAAGTGTTAGACTGCGAGACTGAGACATCAAGCTCAAAGTTTGATTGTCAAAACGATGGCAAGATTATCGAAGATTGTATGCCAAAAGCAGGTACGACATCCCAGGAACTTCATGAGCAACTGAAAAACATTCCAATAGAATTTTACTTGTTAAATTATGGAGTCAGTGAGATATATTCAGATGGTGATATTGATCAATCCGGTTCCCATATTCAAGCAATTGAAGATATCTATCAAAAACGTCCCTTTAAGTGTACTCAATGCCAGAAGAGCTATAAAACTAAATGGAATTTAACAAAGCATGTTCGTACACACAGTGGTGTAAGACCATTCCAGTGTCCCGAATGCAAAAAATCTTTTTCCGGAAGTGGGATCTTCAAGTTCATTGCAAGACACACACAGAAGGATCATTTAAATGTGCTGACTGTTCGGTTTCTTATCGTTATAAAGTAAGTCTTCACAAACACATATGTAAAAATCATAAACCTCGAACAAAATAGACGCTTAGATGTTTACCTCTTTAAAATCATCAGTCCTAATATTGTATTGACTATGAAAAATATATTCACTGCAAAAAAGTTAAAACACAGAAATAGTAACGGAAACTGCCTTTTTGAAAGTCGTGGCTGTGTTGTTATATTAGATGAAAAATCATCCAGCTGAAAGCAGTAGTACCCTGTTTTCCAAACGATTGAACAACTTCCTTTAATTATTCAAAATCTGATTCGATTTATTGTTCCATAATGCTTTAAACTAACAAGCTTTCAATACCCGGTTTTCGTTTTAAAATTCAACAAAATTAAAATCGTATTACAGCCTATTTTACAGTGTATAACGTAATCGTAAACAATGCAATGAATTAATAATAAGTTAGCACATTGAGACGTTTGGCTAAAACTAGTTGAAGGTGATGAATGAATTACACAATAAGCTAGAGAAACAATGTAAATAGAGGGTCTTTAAGGTAGTAATTAACTTAATCTAAGGCACCGAATTGGTTGCAATCGCAATGGGCCATGTGGTGGGACCCTTGAGCACGATATCCTCCAGAGCGTTCTTAATTTTGATGAAGCGTCGTTTGAACTCCAAGCCGCAACCCTTGGACAGCCGGAAGTCCACGAGGATCTTGCCATCCATCTCGATGATGTGCGCCTTGAAAACCAGCCGCAACTTATTCCGATCGACGGTGGACACGGTGACCACTCCATCGTCACCAACCTTGCACGTGTAGCCACCCAATCTTTCGATGGTTCCCACCAATCTCTTGATGGTATCGTCCCATCGCGTGGTCACAAAGAAGCGAGTCATTCTCCTCACCAAACGCTGGAAATAGTTCTGGGAGGCGTTCTGCGTTTGGTTCATTTGCGTGGCCAGCAAGAGATCATCCAGCAAGGCGGGCTGCGAGAAGGAGTAACTGAGTCGTGCCTCCTGGACTAGCGTCTGGCGGTCGCCTCCATTCTCTTTGCACCGACCGCTGCCCAGTCTCACATCGAAGTCATCATCGTTGCGCATCTCGGGCATCGGCTGGGAACAATAGTTCCGGGAAATGGAGTCATCCAGATTGTTGCTCACACTGGAGCTCGACTGCAGGCGCTGCCTCTTGGCTTTTGGCGAGCAAATCTCCAGAGCGGCCGCTGAATCCACCAGGTCATAGGAACGTTCTGCAATGAAGTTTGGAGTAATTTAGTTTTTCGAATACATACAAATTTAAATAGATATATTAGAAAAAGTATTTTTTAAGGGTTTTAAAAACCGATTTGTTATGGAAATTTTGTTTGAAATAAAAAAAATATATATGCGAAAAATTTAAAGAAAAATCTATAAAAAATTATAAACGCAAAACAAAACTCAAGCATAATGCAAAACCATTTGGTTTTTGGTAATAAAGCTCTATGGAACATAGCACCACCATACAGCTAAAATCACCAAAGAACAAATAATAGGCAAACAAAGAGCAATTCAAAAATTAAATAATAATATTAGTTTTAGAAGCACAGCATTGTGGTGGTGGTCTATTTGATGGTTAATCTGCACAAGCCAATGCTTTGGTAATCTAGCTTTATGAAGTAGTTTAAATCTATCATACAGCTAAAGCGCCAAAGCAACGGCAAAGCAGGTTATTTCTTTTAGCACTGGTTGTAACCTGTTGTAATCAACTTATTTTTAACACTTTTTTTTGAGGAGAATGTCTTACTTGCAGCACAGGCACAGAGCGACTCCCAAAATGTGAAATCCATTGAGAGTCACTAAGTACCTGAGCCATCGAGCAAGCACAGAAAATATGCACTGCTATAGCCACTGATCCATATTCACTTTAAAAAACAATTTCTCACCATTGTCTGCAAACTGCATGTTGCACCACTTGTGATCCAGGGTTTTTTCCAGTGTTAAACGAGTGCTGGGACTGGTGGCTAAAAGTTTACGCAGCAGCGAAATGGCCAATGTGTCCAGTTTGCTCCAAGGAGTTTGCAGTTGCCAGTGATCATTATCCTTCCAGTTTATAAACTCCGTGCAATTGCTGGAAGGCTGATCCCAGGGCAATTCTGAAAAGCACAAACACAATCAATACAAGAAATTCAAATAAATTTAAAAGAAGTTTAAATATTTATAACAAATATAACTTTTATAAACACATGAATGAATTGACTTGGCAAGCGGGTGATATATTAAAATTCATTCCTGTTTATTGTGGCTGTTTTGTTTCTGGTGCGTTGTTAAGCAATTTAAGCTGTAGCTTTGGTATAAAAGCTTTAGATGATATACAATGTGCGTGAAACAATCTACAGCTAGAATACCAAAGAAACAGCAAAAATGATAAGAAGTGCGAGAGGAGAAATGCGAGCATAGAACCAAAGAATAAAAATATTGGACTGATATAAAATGCAGGTGACTGATTGATTCCATTTAATGCGAGGCTATAGCGATGACAATGCCTGGAGTTTTTCTTTTTAATGTTTTTACACTGTTTTCTGTTTGTTATGAGAGTGCACAAAATCACGCAAAAAAACACAAAAGTATTAGCGAAAAGTGTGCATAATATTAAGCAGTTTTAAGGTGATTTTGTTTTATAATTAAACTTACCTCCGGCCAGCATTGTGACCAGAATAACGCCACACGACCAAAGATCCGCGGGCTGGGCATGATAGGCTTTCTGGAGAACCTCGGGAGCCACGTACGGCAAGGTGCCGCAGCGCTTGTCCAGCAGTCGCTCCTTGCCCTTGCACCTGTTCCATGGAAGTGCCAAGGTTGCATTTGGATTTAGATAACGTGTAAAAAAGAGGAAAGAAAACCATCGAATTAATTTGTGTTTCATACAGAAGAAATGACTAAGATAATGTTGCTTTGATTTGGTCAAATAGTTTTCTTTAAACAGAAATCAATGATTAAGATAAAATCAAGTAAAAAGCAAAAAGAAATTATTTAAGTGTAAATATTACATAAAAGGCTTTCTGATCAGAATTATTAAATTAGATGCAGTTTGGGCCAAAACTTATAATTGCTGGCAATTTTTTGCTACTATTTTTAAACTCTCTAATGCAGGCTAACGATTTAAATGAATTTTCGGTTAGTTGCGAACTAAAACCTCCGGGGGCATGTTTAGTTTGGCTGTTTGTGCCGGCAGCGTTTTCAATTAACTATTCTGCTTGTTGGTCAGTTTTGTGCTGAAAAACTTTTCGCTGCTGGTTAGCCAGAGGTAATGGATTTTACACGTTCTCCCGCAATTTGGATGTAATTTATAATAATATCCTATTTTTACACGGATCGGAGATGACATTTTTAAGCATATTCGTTTAAAAATACAAATATTTACTTAAATAATATTTGTAGTTTTAAAGAATATTTACTACTTTGTATAAAATATAAATTGTTGTACCTAATACCTAAACATGGTGGCCATGCCAAAGTCGGATATTTTCACGTTGTCGTGCTCGTCGAGTAGCAAATTTTCCGGTTTCAGATCCCGATGGGCGATCCCACGCTGATGCAAATAATTAAGGCCGGACAAAAGCTGAGTGAAGTATCTCTGGGCCTCATGCTGTGGCATTCCCACATCGGGTTCTGAAAAACAAAAATATTGGCATTAAAATGGTTTAAAAACACTTTATTTTATTATAAAAACATAACGGCGGAAGTCGTACAATATCAGGTAAAAATTTCGCAGAAATTTGATTACAAACATAGCTGACCGAATATTGCTATAGACACTCGCATTTCCTTTATGGATACGTTTACCTGCGGAACTCTGAACGCATGGAAAACGAGAAAAATGTGCAGCGAGGCACAACCACCCAGGAAAAGTAAGTTTGGGCAGGTGGAAAAACAAATGTAATTCATCGGGATGTGCATGTATGCAAAGGATTTATGGGCTTAGCTGGTCGGAGGTCCTTCCGTGAAACAACAACATGCACAGCAAGAGACAGCCGCCATGCAATCAAAAGTTTTATACAATTTTAATCAAAGCCCGGAAACACAAACAATGTCAAAAGGTTTGTTAAGTTGTCATGTTAACCTGTTGGTTTTCCAGTTAAAGATTCACACCAAGTTCTTTATTTTAATTATTTAATATTTATTTTAAACTTTAAGCTAAAAGCACGAAGGTTTTTCCAACTTGCAGGCCACTTTAGAGCAGAAAGGTGGCACTCAAAAGAGCATTGATATCATCAACGGAAAATGCAGACCGAGGGAGTTATAAAGAAAGAAAAACAAAGGAGAGGGGGTTATCACCTGGGGGTACTAATAGCTAGACAGATTGTGTTTCCCCAGCTTTTTACCTGATTGACTGTCAAAGGCAGCCGCATAGAGCAGCATCCTGCAACCGAGATCAAACGTCATCATCTCATTTCTCCCATCCATCCGTCACTTATTGATTTTGCCTTTTCGCCTTTCTTGTTTCTGCTCTTGACTCTTTCAATTTGTTCGGGCGAAAAGAAAAGCCTGAGTTATGTTTGAAAATTTGCATCGAGTTGATGGAGCTGGCCACTTTGATTGAATAAATTTTATAGTTTTTGAGTGGGACGTTCTATGTTTCGAGAAATTGACGAAGAAAAGGCATTTTTCACCTTGCAACGGCAAACAATGGAATTGCATTGTGCCTTTAAATGAGAAAGGCTTTAAAATCCTTGTAAACTTTTAATAAATGCTCTTGCAATACCAAATATAGTAATTTTTCTGCCTGACTAATTCGTAATAAGACAACGCAAGAAAAGAAAAGATTTCCTTACAAATTTGAGAGCTTGAGCTTCCTATATTCCTTCCTTTTCATTTCACTGGCTTCCTGTCACTCTTAATTTGTAATACCTTAAAAGTAGATTGTGCCGGAGATAAAGTTGGGCAGATGAGTCACGCCCACTCCTGTGAGTCCAGCCCCCATCTGTCGGTCCTGATTCTGTGTGCCACATTGTTTGCCATTCATTTATCATGTGGCATGTTGCTGGTTGGCGCCATTTGCACAACTCTTTCACCATGGTTTAAATTAAATGGAGACGAGTGCGTTATGCACTGAGAAAAATCAAATTTTTTAAATATTATACAACTCTTATATGAAAAAAACAATAATTAAAAATAACCGTTAGCCTTAACAAATAATCCTTTTGTCTTAAAAAAAAAACACTAATAAATAAAGTTCAAGTGCTGTGTAAATTCGGTTTTTATAAAATTGCAACTTTTTCCTGGACTTATCTTAAGTCGGATACAAAATATCCTTAAATACAAACAGGGAAATGTAAACGTATACAAGTAAAGATAAAATGAAACTCGAAAAGTAAGGAGGAATCAAAAAAGGATGCAGGATGTCAGTAGCATTTTAGCATAATTAATTGCATTTCACACAGTAGGAGAAAAGTATTTCCACCCAACGAACGGCATATTATGCAATGCAATGGAAATGAGGGAAATTACTCGAAAATTTCAATCGTAATTTAAGCATAATTTATATCAGCCCCCTACCAGATTGAGTGAATGACCAAATCGGTTGGGAACCTATAAGCCGTCCGCCTTTCCAATTCAGGACTCTCCTCTTCATATCGCCATTGGGCGTATAAGCTTAATGAATGCATTTCTGTGCAAACAGACAATTAAACTCACACACCCACACACACCGCACTCATACACACACACACTCGCAGTCGAGGACATCTGGTGTGCGTGTGTGCATCTCCATTATGTTTCATTTGCATATTGAACCTATTTATGGCAAGCCATTCATTGCACTCTGCTCTCTCCCCATTAGCTCCTCATTCCCAACCAATATTCTATCCTGCCTGCGAAAAAAGGATGTTTTGTTGCCTAACCAACAGGCGATGGACCGCTAAAATCGAAAGCAGAGATGGAAGCGTGATATCCCATGATGATGCAATTTCGTGAGTGAAAGCTTGATAAGGTGGCGAAATAATAAGTCTAACATGACGTGACTTAACGAGCTCTCAAAGTGATCAGGTTATTAATCACCCTGATTTTACAAACTTAATCTTAATCTTTAATTTTATTTTAGAGTTAGGTTTTCAGCTTTCAAAGAACTCTTTGCCAATTGGTAGCAAAATGGGCACTTGGCCTAGATGAACACTGCCATACAGTTAATATTGAAATTATGCTAAATTATTCAGGTCCTCTGATAAATTATTAAAATAATTAGAAGGACCATCAATCAGGCTTAGTGACATCTCTAAGTATCATTAAAAATGGCTTAGCAACCGGGGACTAAATATGGCTGCCACATTGATTATTACACCAGCTCCCCATGCAGCATCCCCTACAGAGAGGAAGGAACAAAATGATGTTGATGATGATGATGGTGATTGGGAATAGGCGAATTCGGGGAGGAGGAGGCGGACCACCATGTTGTTCCAATCAATGCAAGGACCCCACTTCCATAAGGGGCAATCTCTCTCTCTCTCCGTTTCTGTACTTGCTCATCTGCTGACCTTTTGCCAAGCTGTTAATATTTATGAAAATGCCACGAACTTGGCACCTACTGTCCCCCGATTCTCCCCTTTTCCATTTCCCCCCGTCCGGCCGTACAACTTGGCAAATTGTTATTGCAAAAGAGACAGAAAGCTGGCGTAATCAAGATCTCTATCTTGTCAGTCTGATTTGTCGCTCCTCTGATGCCGGGATGTGTGTGTGTTCCATTTCGATTCACTGGATGGCAGAACAAACTCAAGTTGCACCCACAGAAAGTACGACATGAGCATCACAACCGCTGTCATTCGGTTTGTTTGCCCGTCTGCCTGAGTTCGCGTCACATATTGGCATATTTGCCCCGTCTGGCCGACGTCTATATGACTATACTATATGGCATCTGCGCCAAACCCACGGCACCACCTACTTTACTTCCGATTCGGATAAGTTTCTGCTGTGGGATCCCTCACAGAATCGAGAATAGTAATGAACCATAACAGTTATTGACAAATTGTATTGGAAATAAAACCTCAATAGACACCGAAAGCAGACGTTTCTTAAGGTTCCACACGCATTTAATTTATTCAAGTTGGCAAGTAGTTTAAAGCACTTAAAAAGGGAAAATTCCTTTTATTGGTTTGTCAGACTCATGGCGGTCATGTTTCGTCCCATGGAAAAGACCCTTTATATTAAATTTGCTAACAAGGTTTTATAAATTTCTTTTTTTATCTTGCATTTCTAATAAAACTAAATGTGTAATAATATATTTATAACTCACAACTAGAACTCACCGATTCGATCGAACAGCTCACCGCCGGCGGCGTACTCCAGGAAAATGTACTCCACGGTTCCTTGCGAGCGCTTGCCGAAAAATCGCAAGATATGAGTATCCTGTAGCATTTTCTGTATGCAGACCTCCTTTCGCACGGAGTTCGCTGCATCGGGATGCTTCTTGAGATCCACCATTTTCATGGCCACGGCCTCGCCAGTCTGTCGGTTGATTAGCAGCTTAACCCTGCATTAAAATATCGGATATTGTCGGTGTATTAGCAATGGATATGCGAGTACGAGTGCGGCTGCAGCGTGGCTAGCTAACTGCAGTTTGCAGTTGCAACGTTGGTGTCTGTGTATCGACTGCTCTCCGTCCGGGTGGATTGAGTGTACCGTATGCCGTCTGTCTGTCGTTGGTCGTACTCCCGTATTCCTCAAATTCCCCGGACCCAGATCCGGACACCGGGGACATGCGCACTGAGGAGCCCCTTAAAACGGGACACAGCGGGTGCTTTCGGGATGAATGTATACAGCGAATACGCCGGAAAAGTGCGTTTCAGTCAGTATTCCTTTTTTTTTTTTGCGCTTTTGCTCTGCTGCATTTCCGGTTTATTGACTTTAACACACACCGACGCATGACCAAACACACGGACTTGCAAGTTTTAATTTATAATATGTTTTACAACCAAAACTACATATTTATTCTTCATAAAACAAATTTAATGATAAGACTGATGGGATGTTAATTTAGCAGTCTTAACTTTGAAGAAAATAAAAAAAAAAACTTTGTAATATTTTTATTTTTTATTTTAACCGCTTAAAACATAAATCAAATTTCACTACTTTTTGTGATGATGTTGAATATTTATAATAATATATTTAATAGTTTGGAGCAACAAAAAATATTGTTGTTTGCAGTTAGAGTTTCTAGAGAGTTGGAGATTTTATAGATCAAGATGCCTCGTGCCATTTTTTTTTATCTGTCCGTAAATTCTGCTTTTCAAAATACGTAGTATTAACTTTAAGACACTTACTCGCCGTAGGCACCTTCGCCTAGAGTTTGGGCTAAGGTCCATCCCTCGACGAACTCCCTCGTTGCTGCAGGACCTGTTCCCGCTTCCATTGCTGTCATTATACACTTTTTTTTTTGCTTACAAAGCTGTCCTTATTGTTATGGCTTCGGGTTCGTTTTTTTTTTTTTCGCTGTGTTGGCTACTGTTGATAGTTTAATATCCGGTTGGCCGTGTCCTGTATCCTTGTTGTAGCCTTGCCGCCATGTGCGTGGCGTTGTCCTTGTCATCTGCCGCCGAATTCTCGCTTAGCTTTCGCCTTGTGCATATCTGCGAAAAGCGGAAAAATAATAAAAATTAATACGAGGACTGAATAAAAAGTTTACAATACAAAATGATTTTACAGAGTACAATAACAAACATAGAAAGCCGTAAAACTTTTCTAATTTGTGTTTCACAATTCCACAACGTTCCGCGGTGTCATTCACAGTTACTCAGAAATACACACACTATTGCAAAAAGAAAAGCACATGGGGATGCTGAATTTGAAGTTTTGTGGTATAGAGAAGCGAGAGAGGAGCAGCGGAGCAATCGCCAACTACTTTTTGCGAACTCTTCGCAGTGACGCCGTTAATATTTCAACCTTTGGCATGGTCATGGTTCGTTCGTTCGCCTATTCGGCTATCCTTTCGGCTCTTCATTTGTAAGTCCTTCGCCGTGCGCAGCCGCTTGTCAGCTTTAGCGTTAAAAAAAAAAAAAACTCGAGTAGAGTAACAATAACGAAGGACTTCAATTGAGTGAAAAATGGAGAAGAGTACTGAGTTTAAAATATTTGTAGGAAGCACAGTGGTTGCCTTAAAAAGTAATATGTTTTAGTATTAATACTGTACGTGTTCAGTAATAATTTTAAGTTAAAAAAAGACGATTGGATGGTCTAAGTTTCAAAAATAGCAAAGAGTGCATAAAATGTTCCCTCCAAAATTTTTGGTTTTTAGTTTTTCTGCCCACTGTACTATTTCTAGCTGTTGTACATTATGCGTAGATATTTTCGTCTGTACCCCGTCATTGCGATTGCACTGTGTGGGTGGATATGTGCTTTGAGGGGGAAGGCAAAAGGAGGATACCAGAAAAGAGAGCAGCCTCCATTCGAAGAATCTTTTCTCTTCCTCATTTTCCTCTCTGAAAAGCTGTTCAGAGCCCACCAAAAACTCCACCTCCAAATATGACGTAGCCGTTATGCTTGGCTAGCTCTAATTTACTGACCGCTGCTGTTACTCTCTGAGCTTGCGCCTTGTAGGAAGAGACAGAGAGAGAGAGCATTAAAGAGGATGCTGTTGCTTTTTCTTGTTCAACAGGCCACTATTAACATTTTTTTACGCGTGTGTATTTGTACATTCAACAGAGTGGAATTTTTTCAATAGTATTTGTATATACATATGTGCGACTTGAGGGTTTCCTTTCCATTTAATTTTCTTTGGCTATTTTTAGGTGTCCGCTTTTTGAGGAGCTTCCCGGTGTACCTTTTTCCACCGTTAAATCTTTAAATAATTGAAAAGTTTCAAGGAGTCGTTTTTGCATTTGAAATGAGCATCGATTGTCATGCAAATTGAATTGCTGGATTATGATAAGACAAGGGTTGGTTGGGCAACTTCGGCTATCTTTTTTTTATTTTTATTTTTCAACGTTCCCTAAACGGATCCTCTTGCACGTTTTAAAATTCTTTAGATAGTTCGTAGATAAGTTTCAAGCAAAAAAAAAAAAGCAAATATTGGTAAATAAATACATTTTTTACAAAAGCAAAGCAACTTTCAAAAAGATTTTTATAAACATTGTTATATAAAATCATCCATGACTACAAATTTCACGTAATCCACGATTTTACCTGCCTTTAGAAGGCTAGTATAGGGTTAGTAATACCCAAAATACATTGGGTACATTTTTCACACAATGAAGCCCTTTTTTCTTTGTTACAGCATAAAGGATAAAAGTATCTTGAAATGGGCAAATAGAGGATAACATGTGTTGCACAGTATAAGCTTCAACTAAAAGTTGTAAAAAAAGGGGCCGGAAATGGGGCGTTTCAAAGCACGTGTTGACAGCCCAAGGAGAAAGCCTCAAAAGTGATAAGCGGCCCATGAGATAGAGAAGGGGGAATCATAGGAGAAGGATATGCAGGACAGATGATACCGGATGAGTAATGAAACTCCACTAAAAACTTTGACAAGTTTTCACAAAACTTTTCAAAGCAGCATCAAAAAAAAAAAATTAGTTTGATATGTATCTCCAAGTTTGAAAAGTATGTTATGGACGAAATTCAAGAATGTATAAAAGATGGCAAAAAAAAGCACAAATTAGTTTTTAGAGTACGCATTTCTTCTATTTATTAAAGAAGAAATGGGTTTTCAGTTTTTCTCTTGTATAACATAAAAATAAATATCAACCATAACTTTTTTTTCTCTCATTTGATTATGCTTCTTATCAGAATAACTAAATGATTAACAAAAAAGAAAAGTATGTAAATAATTTTTCAATGTTTTCTATTTTTTAGTCCTATCAAATTGACTTTTACTAATGAAATTCGAGTAAGTTTCTGCGACTTAGCCTTTCTGTGGTAATGAAGTTCACAGGAGCTGGCAAAAAATTAAGTCGGAGATGGAGTGGAGCACAGACAGCTGAAAAGGATCAAAAAACTGTATCCTAAACAAACAAGTTACAGAGTAAAAATCAAATAAAATTAAAGAGTCAAGCGAAGCGCACACACTGCAGACTGAAAAACGATGGGGTTAAAGGGTGATGAGTGGGTGGCAAAGGGCAGGGGATGGAGATTGGAGCGTGCCTTTGTTGCCACACCAACACAATCTCACACTCAGTTACACTCTAACATTTTCATGGCTTGGTGGCAAAGGCTAAAAAGCGAGTCAAGTTGAAAAAAGCAATTCTGTGAGCAAGCATGTTTCGAGACTACACAGGGATAAAACTATTGTGATAAAATATTGGGTAAACAAATCCTTCTCAAACTGTTTAAAATATTTTGTATTAAAATTTTTGAACGGAAAAGCATATTTTATTTTTTAATTTAAAGTCATTGCTAGTGTGTGAATTAAGTTTCACATTTTCGGCAGTGTAATTCTGGACAAGTGGTTTTTTTTTGAAGCGGCAGAGGGGGAACTAAAAACTAGTCGCCGGCTGAGTGGGCAAAGGAGCAGACTGAAAACCAGCAACGAACAAAATTAATGACATTGCGGGTAAGTCACATCCAGTCTGGAGAGCAGGGAATATGGAGTTCAAGTCCGGCAAAAGAGTTTGTCAGAATATCTACGGCCATGGTCAGCTAGTTGGCTTTGGCTAATGCCAGAAAACCCTGTAATGACGTTGGATAATGGTTGACCCAAAACCACTTCTTAGAGAGGTTTTGGTTTTATACAGCTAGATGAGCTCTAAATTTATCCAAGTTCAAGACAATAAGGGAAAAAACACGACTTTGAAATTATTTGTACGTTGTTAAAATAAATGTAATATTTTACTAAAGGCCTAGTAATAATATTATAAATTATTCTTAAGAAGTAATTATTTGCAAATGACATCATTTTGAAGCATTATGATCGGTCTCTTTTGTGATAAATCATGCAGCCCACTAATTGCAGCGTTGGATGCCCTGCTTTATTGATCGCTTGGGGATTATGCAGATGCCACGGGAGGTTCTTTTTTTTTTATTATTTTGCATTTTATCTACCGGTTACAGCCGCTCGGAAGACCACGGACCTCGGAAACTGGGGAGCAGACTGGTAGACTTGAAGGCCTAAAGTGAAGTCTCGAAGGCTCTTGGCAACAGCGGGGAAATATAACTTCGTTACCAGGACAGAGAGCCGCTGAGGTGTCTGGGTGTGTGTTTGTGTGTGTGTGTGCGTTCGTATCTGTGCGGGGCCGATAAGACTAAGCAAATACGAGTTTTGTAAAGTATTTCAATTTGAACATTCGCTTTTTTTCCCATCTTATTTTATGCGCCCTGTACATGAAGCACAAGCTGCAGAAGAAGGAGGCTGTGAACAGGAAAGCCAGAAATGAAAAAAGATATTGCATGGCCATAAAAAAGCCACACGGATACACACATACACACGGGTACAGTGAGAGAAAAGGACGGGCTTAACAGGCTGCCAGACAGACGGACAAGTGGTACGACCAGCGCTGCAAGTTTTTTTCTTGAGTTTTTATATTTTTGTTTTATATATATTTTTTGTTTGTCGCTTTACTCCTTGGTCCGCTGGCAACCTCAAGTTTTCCTTTTTATTTCGCGGGCGTTGCAAAAAGAAAAAAACAACAAGGGGAGAAAAGACACAAAGCCAAAGAGCGGCTGAAGAAAACTAAATGCCGCATGTGCATTTTATTGCGGTTTTCAAGTACTTTTAGTGATTTTAAGTTTTAATTAACTCTTAACTCTTTTTTCTTTATCTAATTAATCAGATATATCTTCTTGGATTTTAAACGACATGACAGAAATGTTTGTCTGGTCTGTAGATGACAAAAAATGATTACTACCAAGAGCTTTTATTTTGATGGTAAGGGATGCTGCTTATTTTCTTGTATTTTCAGGAATTAAATAAAAAAAGTTGTTGTTCTCACGTTTAAATGATTATCCACATTGTTTTTGGCGATTAAGAGCGAGTAATATTTGCGGCTTTTTCTTGGTGTTCATCATTTTGTTATCCGTCTGAGAGCTTGAGGAACTACCCCGAAACCGAACAGCGAGAAACCGAAAATGGTTCGAACAGTTTAGTCCTTTTTAAGGATTTTGTCAAGAAAGTCACCACTGAAAAAGTCTTCCGTCTCGTTTCTTTGAATCCTCGTGAATGGATGCGGCAAACACACACACACGTATCCGGTATCCTGCGAGCCGCGATTTGTCTGTATCCCAATTTTAATGAAACGGCCTCGTGGTCCTTGTACTCCTCCCTGTTTCCTTTCTTCCGTTTCCCCGCCATTGTCCACTTTTTTGATTCGATTGAAAAGCGCCTACTACTGCTGTAGTAGTTGTACTACTGTTAATTTACTATTACGAAGCGGCGGGAATTGTTTTATTTGGAGCCTTTCACTTTGTCCTGGCAGGAGCTTCGTCCTGGCTGAGAGTCAAAATCCAACTACCGCCATGGCAGTATAAGGTAGTCTCGACGGATCCGTCAGTCCATTATTGCGCACTACAATGAGTGCGAGTGAAAGGGTGTTTTCTCTTGAGTGCGAAAGAAACCGGAGTAGAGAGTGTTGGGGTTTAATATGGCCTTAGTCAATCACCCCACCATCGGTTGTTATCTTTGAATGTTAGTCAAACTCGTCCGCTAGAGGCGCTTTTTTCAACCAGGTTAACAGGCAACGAGAGAGCCACAGGAACGATTATGGACTGAACCCGAACAATTTTGCCCCCGACGAGACTGCGTTATACCACTTTGTTCAGCAGAAAGCCTTGATAGTCTCGAAACTTCCAGAGAGAGCGAAGGAGACTTCACGAAAGGAGAGAGCTTATGCTTGCGCGCGCCAAAACCCAAAGGTGGAAAAGGAGATGGAGGGATGCTAGTGGTGGCGGTCCTCTCATTCTTCCTCTTTCTTGGAGCATCTGGCAAGTTCAACTTGCTCTCTTGCTCAAGTTCAGAAATGCACATTGGAGATTTAACAACATATCTCAAAAAAGGTTTTATTTAAAGGTGAAATGTTTTATTGCAATAAGTTAAAAACCAGTATTAAATTTTATTTTTTTAAGTTTAATGAGTGAAGTTTCAGTTTTAAAACAACACTTAGATTGCAATGTGTTAAGCTAAGATAAATTTAAGATAACAGATTTTCACTTAGGCTTCACCCCACTGTGCGATGGCAGCGCTGCCTGCGTGACAGAGTGTAAAAGCCGGCTACCGGCAAGGGCTGTTGCTCCTTTTTACTATTTCTCTCTTTCTATATACATATGTACATATATGTACATATCTAGAGCACAAGGGGAATCCAAAGGTTGTTAAAACTGTACAATTTTATATATCATAGTTAGTGCTAATCAAGCGCTTAAACATACAAAGTTAATTCTTAAAAAAACATGTAAAAATTCTAAAAATAAGTTTTTCTTTTCCACTCTTTTTAATTAGTCGTTACACCACTGTGCGCTGGTCACCTTTCGGCAGCTTCAGATACAGTTTTTGTCGCGTCAAAACTCTAACCCCAACTCGTATGCCCAGGAACTTAAGTGATCCTTATGATATTTTTCGATATTAAGAGTAATTAGCTAAGAGTTAATGGAAATTATTGTTTTGACGTTGACCACCCCAAAAAATGGAGCATGCACATATGTACTTATTTATTTTAATAACTTGCGCCATTTGTCGAACTGCTTCTTTATTTTTGAATTCGCATCGCCTTTCGCTCATCGAGTAAGACCGCGATTCGTTTACATATAGACGACATATACATTACATACTTGCATGGCTAGCGTGTTGATGGTTTTGTTTGCCCCTCTCCCCAAACTCCCTACCTTTTCCCACTCCCCTTTTTAGTTGTCTCCTTTTCGCTGACTCCATCAATATTTATTTATGTATGTATGTATATTTCTGCGTTTGTGTATTTTTATGTATGTTTAGCTGCGTAACAACAACAATAGCAACAGACCACACAGACCACTACAGCATCCATTTCACCATTAATAACAACAAAAACTTCTGCTTGACAACCCCGCAAAATAAAAGAAAAGATAAAGGAAACAAAAGACGAATGCGTTTGGCACGGAAACTGAAATTTTTCAGATGTGTGTGAAGTTCACACTCTTAGTCGAAAAGAGAAGCTCCGGGCAAAAAAATTATAAAACAAAAATGAGAGAGCAACAAGGAGACGGGAAAAACCAGACAGCGACTCCCACCGCCCAAAGACAGTCTAACTTCAATTAGATACACTTTTGTCATTTGACATTCTAATCTGTAGAATGTTTAAGAAAATCCCTCTAAAGCATTTGAATGTAAAAAAAAAAATAACTTAAATATATATACTGGATTACTACTGGAGCTGATATAGTAGTCATATTTTTTAACTCTATCTGTGCTTATCACCAATATGTGTACTGCTGTATGCAGTGATTCATTTAGGATGTAAGCAATTCGAGTAAATAATAGTGTGGAAATTTTTTTCTGGTACATGTTCTCTAAGCTTAAGTATTCTTCAACACCTCTTGAATTGATTTCAAGCTGAGAGAAAACTTCCCAATGTCTCTAGGACGGATTATTAGGCTTAATTGATTGGCGCGTCTGTCTTGCTAAATTAATAATAGCTCTCAAAAAAAGAAGAAAACGGTAAGGAAGAAGGAGGATTATTGATTAAGGAATTAATAGGCTCACTTCATATTCAGTTTATCCACTGATTGAATTAGGGAAAAACAAAGAAGGGCTAATTTGTTCTAGTCCAAAACGTATATTTGGGAGACAAAATGGTAATTTTAGATGTTCCTATTAAAAGGTGTTTTTTATTTATTGATTACTCGCTATAAAATTTACAACTAACTAACTTTATTATGCATATTTCTCTTTATCTGTTAATTAACACGATTCAGTCTTGATGCATGTCTATAATATTCATTTATTTTATAAAAAAAATTAAAAACGCTACAGTTGAATTTTGCGACTCTCAGAGGCATAACAATTGATGGTGTTGTTGTTTCAATGGATGTGGATCTTGCTTTTTAAGTTTAAATAAATAATAAGTTCAACTTAAATATGTTTCATTTTCCTTTTTGTCTATAACAGAAAGGGTTTAAACTTGCGACTTTTTTTTTAATTAAATTTTTTACGAATGTTGATATCTGGCTTTTTTTCTCTCGTTTCATTAAAATTGCTTTCAAATAACTCAGAACCAATGGGAATATGCTACGAAAATCGAAGTAAAAAAATTTAAGGTACTTAAAAAGGATCTGCCCTTTTAGGTTTCTTTTGTAGAGTTTTGCACTTCTTTTTTTCTAGAACAACAGTTTTTCCTTTGTTCCTTGGTTGTGATTTCTTCCAGGCACAACGGTTCTTCCGCCTGATCGAAACTCTCCTCCAGGGGTTCATAAGGTATTTCACTGTATTTTACCCGCCTTGACTCCTTTTCCTTCTTTTTATCCGAGCTACTCAGATGTGACTTTGCTGATCCATACACACTAATGGAGCTACTACAACTCTCGGCTGTGTGGAAGGAATCGGTGATAGAATCGTTGAGACTGCGATTCTTGGGTCGCCGTGTTTTGCGAGGTTTGAAGAACTCGGGGTCGTTTATTAGGGGAAAGCTCTGGCGGCCGTTCCGTAGAATCTGGATAGGCTGTTGTGGAGACTGGATCGTGGGCAGAGCGGGCATCGAGTCTTCCTGCATTGACATCATTCCAAAGTACCGCATCATGGCGACGGCCTCTTGTTCCACTGTACTGGTATCGTCCCAATCTTCCATAGTGGCGTGCTCGCCCAGCGGTCTTGTGCCCGCAATTTTTTGGATTTTCTCCATCATTTGCAGGCTCTCGCGGACTTCCCGACCTTTTCCACTCGGGCTACCGTGGAGTTTTTCTAGCTCGGAATTCCGCTTGTTTCGGTTCGACAGATACTCGTAGGTGCTCTTGGGTCTCGGGCAGAACTCCTGTTTCCGCTTCTCCTCGTAGGCCACCTGGCCGTGGACGAGATTGAAATCCGGTTCCATGTCCACCAAATCGTCCTCGAACCGCGAATTGGGTACCCATGCCATGACCGTGCTTGTTCTTGAAGCGAAAGTATAATTTTACAGTGGTTTCTTCCCTTTAGCCCTAACCTCAAATCTCACCTTAAACTCCCTAACCTTTCACTAACAATTAAACAGTAAAATTTCCCGAAAACTCAGATGTTAGGTGCCATTTTTGAAAGTAATGTTTCAATGTGACCATGCGCCTTGCAACACGAAAAACGCGCTACCAGAGCTCGTGCAGTGGTGAATTTGGGCGCACCGGTGTGGTAAACAATATTGCGCCAAAAAGTCAAACAAAAGAAAAAGCCGAAATGGGGAAGACGGGGGCCTCGGCCAGGAAACCGTTGAATAAACAATGGGCTAAGCCCCAATGATCAAGATATATTACCACCAGTATCTCAACTCACCAGCGGCGTCTTTTCCGGCAGCGCCTTCCGCTTTGTGACTTGTGTACCCACGAGTTTGCCGTTTCCGTTTTGTCCTGATAGTTGCTCGTTCCGTTTCACCGCGATATGGATTACTCGCTCATAGCGCACATGCCCTCACCGGCATCCAGGAGGTATTTAAAATAATTGAAATGCAAAAAAATCTGCAACGCTGCTAAAATTTACTTTGCAAACGCTAGGGGTGGAACTTGACTGATAGCAATCGGTCTCACAAACGATTGTATCCTAAAATATCGCGTGCACCCCTTCCCAACCAAGCGAGTGCACCTTTTAAAATAGTGAAGACATCAACTGAATTTATCGATTGCACCAACCACAGTTAGTTGGGAAGAACTCCATGGGCGACCGTATTTTAAGCGGGTTTTGCAATGTAAACATTTGTTCTTTTATTTTATCTTACTTCATTGATCAAATTTGTATAACGTATCGTTTTTAGCGACCATGCCTGGTAAAGTTGATTGCACAACATGAACAACTTTGCTCTGTTTATAAATAATTCTTTCCATATATAAAATGGAATTTAAAATTTATTGCCACAAAAATAACAAGTTGTGATCCACTTTTACAATTTTACTTTTACTTAATGGCTTCGTTCATTTACATACTTTTATAACATATGTAGATAGTAGAAAGTCTCCTCATTTCCAGCTTGAATTCTCGAGGTTTTGTTTTCCACCAGCCCCGGTGTAATTTGGCTTTATGTGCCCTGCTTAGAGTACATGTCCTTAATTATTTGCATGCGAGTCATGCCAGTGGCGCAGAGCCAGGAGTCCTTAACCTGAAAGGCTTCGAATTGTTTGCGATCTTCCTTGAAGGGCTTGTAGTATACGTCATAGATGATGCGTAGTATACGCTGCACGTTTGCCTGCGACGGTTTTTTCGGTTGATCCCGAAAAGTTTGGTTTTTGTGCTTCTTTGTGTATTTGCCATCGTCCCACCAATCGGGGAAATTTGCATCGGCGTCGTCAGTCTTAAGCTCCTCCTGAGTAAATAGGGTCTGGTAAAAGAATGTGGTTTTAGAAGAGAGTTGTACTACTAACATGCGGCGTACTCCAACTCCAACCCAGTTCCTTTTGAGTTGGTTGCTCTGTATGTGTTTCTTCGGGAAGCATTTCTACTAGAAATTCTTCCTGCTGATCGTGCTCCGGCAGGGATAAGGCCAACTCATCATCCAACTCATCCATTCGCTGCTGCTCGGAAACTGGCTGTGGAGCCGGTTTTTCCACTGGCAGTTTGGTCGGAGCTCCAGGAGGAGGATCTATTGATTGAAACCATCTCAGTTGTCCATTTACATTAACAGCCTGGGGGCAAGCAGTACAAAATGTAAAAATATTCTTAATTTAATCCAAAAATCCAGTATTTTGGCTAAAATTAACCTTTCTGAAGAAGAAAGCCTTGATTACTTACGATGACTTGTTTGTTGCTGATGTCTCCTTGAAGTATCTGAGGATTGCAAGTGGATATGGTGATTAGGGGCATCTGTTCATCCTCTTGTGCTTCGTACACGTTCTCAAGCTTTATCACCGCGTGGTCGTCAAAGACAAGATCCTCCACCAAACTGTTGAGGTTCTTTTTTGTTTCCGGTACCATCGCCGGTACCCAAGGCCGCAGCTGGACATCTTCTCGCTCCAACTGTTCTTCCAACCTGTCGACTTCTACCTTTTGAACTTCCATCACTTGTTCCATCATCTCCTGCTCGTGATTGCTTATGTTGTGCTCCTCCAGACTGTTCTCCTTCAACAACCACTCCCTACTCAGTTCCTCGGCGGTTTGAATGGCTTCCTCGATGCCCGAATGCCGGAGTTCATGGTGCCGCTTGAGATTGGCCTTTCGGTCGGAACTGTAGGTGCACAATGAGCACTTGAAGGTCTTGTGGCTCTTCTCCGGGTTGTTGTGTACCATTAGGTGTCGCCTAAGGTCATATGGACGATTGGTCTCATACCTACAGCCCATAACCTGACACTGAATCTTGCCATTTCGATCGGGGGGTGGGATTACCGGCACTTGATCGTTGGCGCCCGGGTGCTTAGTGGCCACATGGCGTTTTAAGTTGGACACCTTGTCGGTGCTGTAGATGCAGGCGGGACAGGCGAACAGTTTTTGTTCCTTGGGATTTGAGTGCGATTCCTCGTGACGCCACAGGTTGTAGGGCCTGTTCGTCTTGTAGGGACATCTGGCCATGCTGCAGTGGAACTTCCAGACTGCGCAGTGTCCTTCTGGTTCCTCCGACGACTCCTGGTCCTCGTTAAGCATCGCTAGGAATCGGTCGGCAGTATCATCAATAATATTGATGCTACAGACTCTGCAGGCTCCATTGATGATTATCAGAACACCTAAGGAATACGCCCATTGCGGTGTAGTGTAAAATAATGTGTTTTAGTTCAACTAAACTTGGCTTTTTAATTAAGTAATTTGTTTTAACTAATCAACATATCTGCTTTGTTTGTTAATAATACCAAAACGCTTTGCAGATTTGCCAGAAAAGGTATGGTCACACAAATTTAGCGGCAATTCCGCTAGAATTCTCTGTCTTGTCATAGATTGGTAAAAGTGACTTTACGGGCGTTGTTAATAATATTAAAAAAAACATTACTTTAATTACAAATAACTTTATCTAACATTAATATTAATATAAATAGGAGTTTTTCTCTTCTTTTTTTTCTTTAAATTTTTTATATTATATCTAAGTAATTTAACCTTATGAGTCACAACTATCGCGACTGTGTTTATTCACGGCAATCGAATAAAAGCCAAGGGCAGTCTATCAGTATTGGAAGAGATGTGTTGGTAAACGCGATTTGTTGAATGCGCGGTAGTTTTAAATATGTAAACAATAACTCAGATGCTAGTAATAAAGAAATAGGAGCCAAAATTTAAAAATTAATATCAAATAAATTATTTTTATTCGATGGTTCAAAATGTATACGTTTTTAGGAAAGTTTTTCCACAATTCTCTACCCCCAAGTAGCAAGCTGCACTTGGCAGGGTTCATTATCCTTACCGCAGTTTTACTACAGGACACATGCGCCCTGCATCGCCTGCAACCGGCTTGGCGTTTTCATTGAGTTTTTGGGGCCACCATTCAATGGAATTCCCCTCTTCCCACAATTTGAACTCGGTTAAGAGTTCGTCTGGGCTGTAAGATTCGGTTTTGGGATCGGGAGTCCTTGCAGTTTTTTCAGCTGTTTCAACTTTTTCTCTAGTTCAGTTGCAAGTCGACTGCTGGCCAAGGCGCACGGAAAACTCGGAAAAACAGCGGGCAACGCAGAAATATTTTTAATTATTAGAGTGCAAAAAAAAACAAACAGATCATTCAGTTTGGCTAAAGGCAAACAAAGAGTTTCAGCGAAGAAAGTAAATTTCAAATAAAAAAGGGCTTGTGCTCTTAAAGTGTGTGTGTTTGTGTTGGTTTTCTAGGCCATTAAAATAATTGCACAAATATATCCTGTTATGCTGCTCCTGCTAAAATCAACAGAGAATATCAAACAAATAAGCAACCGCACAAAAAAAAAAAAAAAAAAATACCCTTTTAATTGGTTGGCCAACGCCCCCGCCCCACGTTTAAGCCACCCTTAACCATCCGATTCCTTAACCCCCAACTGTGTGTTTGCCTTTCTAAATTGGCATAAATTCATTTATGGGTCAAACACCCTCTTGAAAGTTACCAAACCGTAGAAAAAATATAAAAACGTACCCCCATGCACTTCAGTGTGTTGGTGTTGAATTTTTGTCTTGATGTGTATGTGTGTGCACTTCCGGTTGCACGGCACGTAACGGAAATATGCATTGAAAAAGCCCCTCCCATCGAATCAAAAATGTAAAATTGCGCAAGGTTATCCCCAGTGAAAGAGAAACCTCAAATATTCGCAATTATTCCTAAATGTTTCTATTATAAAAAAAAAAAAAAAATAATAAACTAAAACCAATATCATTCACCCACTCATTACTCAGTCAAATCGTGCAATTAAAGCCAAACAAAGCAATAATGGAAATTAAATGAAAATATTGAATGCGATTTTGGCTGCCAATTGTTTATAATTCAAACGATATGTTTTTCATCTTTTTCGCGTCGTTTCTCACGCAGACGTAAACAATTAAAGCAAAAAGACTTGGGGAACCCAATCGGAATAAAATTAGACGCTCTTGCAATTCGAAATAGATTACAAAAACAAACAATTTTGGATAAAATAAAATTAATATTTTATTTTTTAAAACTTACAGATTAATTTATACCATTTTTTTTATCAACATTCTTTTTTTAATTGTTTCTATCAAGACTTTTTAAAATAGAAGAACACGTTTGTAAAAAAACACCCGTTGCAAGAGTATAGAAATATTTGGAAAAACAACTTGATCTCATTTCGTGTGATTTTCTGAGTTCGGTAGACCAAACACTTTTGTTCTGTTCCGATAATTTCAGTTTTTTTGGCTGGAATTAGTTTTCAATTTCAATATTCAGTTTTAATTTTCTGCACTGGAGGTTTTACGACAGCAAACTCGTTCAATTGCCGCCCTCAAGAGGAAATCTCAACTCAAGGTGAGTGAACTAGTGCCCCCACACGGAAAAAATTTTTAAGGATACATTTTTATATTGAACCAATTTTATTTACTTGGGCGAAGAGAGTTTTATCCTTTATAAATGCAATTAAATTTGCAAGCAACTGGTTAACTTCCGTAAATATTTTTCCTTTAAATAATATATACATTTTTTTATAATTTTTCTAAATAAAAAGTATTTTTTTTTTGGTTTAATAATAGTAGAACGGGTTGGGATGATAAGGATTATTATCTAGTTGCTGGTCCTCTGCCATTGTTTGCATAGTGGCCTTTGACCCTTTGTCCAGGTGGGTCCTCATTCTCAATCTCATTCCCATTCTCGTCGGAATTTGCATTCCCATCATGGTCCTGTCGATGACTCTTCAGTGCCCACTTGTGCCAGTTTCTCGATTACCAAGCTTTTCGATGCAGAGGGTTGTATTGGCGAAGGGGAGAAGGTCGCACAGTACAGAGAGACTTCTCCTCTTTTTCCTGTTTCTGTGCAAGCTGAAGTTTTCCCACTCGCAACTTGTGTTTGATTAATTTAATTTAAGCGTGGAGAGGTCAATAAAAGAGTAACTAAACGGGGGAAGACTTAAGGCTTGACAAATATAATTGAAACAAGATGATTAATTACTTTTTAGATTGTGGCACTAGGCGGCTTAAACAAATTTAAAATTTAAGAATAATCTCTTGGATTTCTTTATTGGCATGAACACATTTCCAAACGAATATTTTCATCTATTCTGGCCTGCCATTTCTCTAAATGTTTGGAATAGAAATAATAAAAATAATAATTTTTCTTAACATTCGTAGAATGCAAATTAAAAGGAAACAGGTTTCAACGGAAAGTAAACACTTTAAAAATAACAAGCTGCCATACTTTTCTTCAATATAAGAAATTTATATGATTCTTTTCAAAACTTTTCGATACCTCATAAAATGGGCAGACACTCTCCAGAAGGAAGGAATATAAATAATCACTTAAAAAAGGAGAAGTAATTATTCCTTGCTAAAAAAAATGTTACTTTATGAGCAGGTTTCATTCTAAACAATAAGTTTTGGGTTTTTCGACGCTCGTGCATTACTGGAAAAATTGAACCGTAAAAACGAGTTAACCTACTTTCAGGTGGGCAATGGTGTGTGTTCTCGCGGGCATTAGTGTTTGTGTGTAGGGTGCATACAGCTGCATTTGAGTTGTTCCATGCAAATAAACAAACAAACAGAAACACAAATACGAACGCAAAGGCGAACACATGCAAGAAATTTGATTCATTTGCATGTTGCACCCCCAACAAAAGCTGGTACACAAACACAGATACTATACACAGATAGACTTACACACACAAAAGCACACACCCCGGTGCACACAAGTGTAACTCTAACAATCCTCGTCGAAGTACTGTGGAGGTCAAAAACAGGATACTAGAATGTATCGCGAACTCAAATATGGTTAAAGGTGATTTTTGGTTGAGAGCATTTATTTTTCGTTTTTGATCCATGACTAATTTTTAATTGGGTAAAATAATCTTAAATAAATATTTTTAAAATTGTTGTTACTTTTATTGCATATTTGCAGTCTGTTCTTATTGTGTCTTTGGTAATTTTTGGTTCAACAAGATGATAATGTTTATTATCCGAATAATTTCTTTATGTATTTAAATATTTTATATATTATTCTAATTTAGTCTTACCACTCTTGTATTGCCCACATTTGTATAAAACTGAGGGGAAGGACGATGGGTGGTGGACGGTTAAACAGCTTTTAAGCACAAACAAAGCCCCCAAGCGAAAGGGGTGAAAGCGGAAGGAAAGGGTTGAGAGAAGAGGGCTGAAGGGTGAGAAGTGAGGGGTGTTGGGAGGTGTCTTGGGGTCACCGCAGGCGAGTGCAGTGCCCTCAATTAGAAGGCGTCCAAGGACAGCGGCGAACAGCTGCAGCAACAACACGAATGGCAACAACAGCTGCTCGCTAAGTTGGCCTTTAATTGCTGACAACACGGCGTATACGTAATGCCGACCTGCATTTCCCCAGGAAAACGTTGTGCTGTGCCTTACTCACATTGAGTTTTGATTTGTACGGCTGCACCCCTGCACTTTGAACTGTTTCTCAAGCAGTCGGCGCTTGGCCTTCTCCGAAAAATTGTGGGTGAATGGGGTGAAAAGTGTTTCCAGTAGTTGGCGTTGCCTTGGCTGACATCCTTTGGCATCCTCAGCCCCATCTTCAGACTCAAGTTACTGCCGCAAACAAAAACAAAACGTGAAACAAAGTTGTAACGCCTCAAAAGCGGAGAGGATTCTTTTGATACACCCTACCTTAGAACTATATGTACAAATGGGAGACGAATCTTTGTCCAGTACTTCAAAGCTCATCATATAATGAGCTTATCAAAAAAGGACACGTAATCAGTAGAAATGTTTACAAAAATGGTTCGTACATGATGCAAACTTTTGTTCCTTCTCCTATGTTAAAAAAAGTTTTATTAGATTAATTAGTATAACTTTAGGAGCTTTAAAACCATACTTACATATATTTAAGATAATATACTCGTAAACCATTGAGAGTTCCATTTTATGGAGTGTTTGTTACGTTTTCTTGATATGTTTTCGACTGCTGTTGCTCCTGGTGATGATGTTGTTTTTGTTGTTATTGTTGCTTTTTGTCCTCGACGTTGTCTTTGCCTGCGGAATCTCCCAAGGACACGCACTATGTGTGTGTGGAGCCACAAGTCGTTGGCGTTTGCTGCCCGCCGCAAGGACACTTGAGGCATGCATGTCAGATTTATACCACCCACTGCCAACATTCGTCCCGCCACTCTTCCTGCCCCTGGTGCTCCTGCAGCCTCCCAAGGATCAGCTGCCGGATGTGAGAGCAGCCTTCGGAGGAAGTGAAGCGACAAACCTGAACCTGAAACTAGCAAGAAAAATCATATAGAATGTTTAGAATGTTGTTCTCAACAGAAACTTATGATAATTATTTATTACTAATTTTACTATATTTATTTATTACTAAGTTTTTGCATATAATCCTTAATGGATTTTTTATTCAACTGTTTACATTTTTTAAAAGAAGAAACATTCTTTATTTTCTTTGTGTATTTTGCTGGTATTTTATATTCCTATCGCCGGTGTGTGGGTGGCTTCAAGTTTTGTGGCTGCTTGTTTGGTCAGTCATGAAGGCAACAACAAGTTCTGCAGACCCAGCCGCATGCCACCCACTTTGAACCCCCCTTTCACCTTAACCCCCCGATGTTGTTACTTGCAATCTTGACATTTAATTATCTGCTGTTGGCTGCAGCTTCCACTGTGTGTCAAGGTCCTCGGTTTGTTTTCGGCGGATGGCAGGAAACGCACCCGCTGAGGTGATCTGCTGCCAAGGTCCAATTTGTGCAGGAAATTTGACAAAATGTTCAAGGCGGAATTTATCAAATTGGGAGCTGGGTGAAATTTTCGATTATTGGTTCGGAAAGATTAAATTGAACTTTAATTTATAATTTTTGGTTAAAAACTCACTAATTTACAAATGTATTCAATATCTATTAATGTCTGTTTTTTATAACATTTAAACAACTTTTACTGAAATTGTTCGGTAAATAATTGTTAATTGTTAAATTAACTTCTCGTTTAAAAAAAATATATTGCTTTCATCGTTTTAATATCGCTCGCGGCATTACTAACTATCTAATTGCTATCTGCTTGCTCTTTATATCTCCTTTTCAGTTGTCGAAATGGAGCGATGCAAAAGCCGGCGAAGAAGGCGAAGGTAAGCCATTTATCTCAAAGAAAGTCCGATTACATATCAAAATTACGTATACGCAGTGTTATATACACTAAAATGAAGACAAAGTTGTATTTGAGTCAATGCTTTGGGGGAACAAATTTGATTTATTACAAGCCATGAAAATCTGCTAGAAAATATGTAATAACTAGATTTTTGTGAGCGTGTGTAAAACAAGTTCATTACTCGGAATTGCTGCTTTAAAAATTTATTTGTGTGAAAAAACTTTGGATCTTCGTGGGCCAAAGTAAAGTATTTATTAGCAACAACTTAAGTTGCAGTTGTCTGAGTTTTCAGGTCAATCAATAGCATTCCGATGGGTCCTGCCTGTGATTAGTAAGCCAGCCGTGAAAAAAAATGGCTGTGGGTGTGTGTGGATATTTGGTTGTGTGTGTGCTTCCTGCTCGTATGCAATATGGCGGCACTGCCAACGCCATTTTACTTGACTTACAGCATGGGTTACGGCTGGCTGTTCACGACCTACGACAACCTGAAGGAAAGTTGCCTAGGTTATGTCCTGCGCAGACTCACACCAAGGCACTCTAATGAATACGTTAACATACGTACATACGTGTGTTGGTGATGTGTGTATGTGTCCTGTAAGTGCAATCAATGAAAGTTCAACGCACGCGAAGGGAAAAAAGCGGCTTTGCTGGGAACTTTTTTGGCAGATTATTTTAAAGTCGTAAAATACTTTATTTCAATGGTTGATGGGTAAGAATTTACATGCAATTATTTATAGGATATTGTTAACCTATTACAATTTAACTCGCATGGAAAATTGTAACTGTTTCAATTGTTTCTATTACAAATTAAACAAAAGCAAAAACAATTTAATTTTTTATTAAATTATAAAAGTTTTTCCCGGTTTTTAAAATGTAAAACCTTTTTAAAATAAACAACTTGAAATTTTTAAGGTGGTTGGGTTCGATGTTTGTTTGTCTGCCGGTGCAACCAATGTCATTTGAAATTAAATGCCAAAAAATGACAACATATCGAACCAGCACACATGCACCCATTGCATTGCTTTTTATTATGAAACAAACAAAAAAGCATGGCAGGCAATAACTGACCCAGATTTCAGATGCCACCCTGCAACCCACCGCATATCGCGTATACGCCGCGTGTTTGTGTTTGGCTTTACTGTTTCCTCCCATTTTTTTTCATTTTTTTGTGCTTGCATTTTGCGCTTGAAAATTATTATTTTATATCCCAGCCATGATAACGATAACGATTATAACCCAAGGCTATCAAAAATCAGTGCAAATACATTTTAATGGCAATTTGATGATTTCCAGTGAGCTGTTGCCTTGACAACATCCCTCTGTTTGTGTGTGTGTATGTGAGTGTGTGTGTGGGTCCTGTTCAAGGTCGAATTGGGTGGAAAACAACTGGATTATCTTTGCTAGAGATTTGTTCGGTTAGCAATAAGTGAAGGCAATGGCTGTTACTGATGTTTTCTTTGGACCTTTTGAACTTTTGCTTATGCTATAATTTGTGTTATTTCTTTCTCATTTAGACGACGGAAAAAAGTTGCATTTCGTGAGTCCGGCTCGCCGGAAATCGGTGCTGGCCCCCATCCTCAACAAGATCAAGAATGGCGCTGATGCGGCGGACAGTGCCGAGAAGAAACTGGGCAGCGAGAGCAGCGGCAGTGGCCACATTGCGGTGCAGATTGAGCCGGCCAGGCGGGTCAAGGTGGGTTCAACAAGGATCTGCATGAATTTAAGAATAACTAATTGGCATCCTTATCTATCCACTTTAGCGTCATAGCATCCACGGCATGATGGAGGAAGAGAACACGATCCGGCCGCATCAGGAGATCCGCCAGCTGACGCTGGAGGAGAAGAAGTTCCTGCTGGCGGTGGAGAGGGGCGATATGGCCGGCACTCGCAGGATGTTGCAGAAGGCCCAGGACACGGAGTACATCAATGTGAATTGCGTGGATCCATTGGGCCGAACGGCCTTGCTAATGGCCATTGACAACGAGAATCTCGAGATGGTGGAGCTGCTAATAAACTACAATGTGGACACGAAGGATGCCCTGTTGCATTCCATTTCGGAGGAGTTTGTTGAGGCTGTGGAAGTGCTGCTGGACCACGAAAATGTCACCTTCCACAGTGAGGGTAATCATGTGAGTTGTGGATATATTCTTATCATATATTTGTGAACTCCTATCATGTTTTCTTATCCAAGAGCTGGGAATCTGCCTCCGAGGATACATCAACGTTTACGCCAGACATAACGCCCTTGATCCTGGCGGCTCACCGCGACAACTATGAGATAATCAAGATACTGCTGGATCGGGGAGCCGTGCTGCCCATGCCGCATGATGTGCGATGCGGCTGCGATGAGTGCGTTCAGTCCCGCCAGGAGGACTCGCTCAGGCACTCCAGATCGCGCATCAATGCCTATCGAGCGCTGGCCAGTCCCAGTTTGATAGCACTCTCCTCCAAGGACCCCATACTAACGGCCTTCGAGTTGTCCTGGGAGCTGCGACGGCTCAGTTTTCTGGAGCACGAATTTAAGGTGGGTTCTGAAACCCTTTTGTATTTATATTTTATTTTTACTTTACCGGTAGAATGAGTACCAGGAGCTGCGAAAGCAGTGCCAGGACTTTGCCACCGCCCTGCTGGACCACACTCGCACCTCTCACGAGCTGGAGATCCTGCTCAACCACGATCCCACCGGACCGGTCTACGAGCACGGTGAAAGGATGCATTTAAATCGCCTAAAACTAGCCATCAAACTGCGCCAGAAAAAGGTTAGTTATATTCCAAACATTCTGTATATAATATAATCGTAATTAAGGACGAATTTGTTTTACTTTCTAGTTCGTGGCACATTCGAATGTGCAGCAGCTGCTGGCGAGCATTTGGTACGAAGGTTTACCCGGTTTTCGGAGGAAGAACATGGCCTTGCAGGCGGTGGACATTATCCGCATCGGAATCATGTTCCCCATCTTCTCGCTGGCCTACATCCTGGCACCCTATTCAAGTATTGGCCAAACGATGCGCAAGCCGTTTATCAAGTTCATCTGCCACAGCGCCTCCTACTTTACCTTTTTATGTGAGTAGATCCAACATAGAATGTATTTTCTTTAGTAGTACATAGATTCAATTTCTACTGAATTCTACTCTAACTTTTGTGAGCCTTTCCAGTCCTTCTGATGCTGGCTTCTCAGAGGATAGAGACCTTCATCGGCGGCTGGTTTTTTGCGGACTCCTCTGGAATGCTGAACACGGTGGAGGAACTGCCCACAAAGCGAGGAGCCAAGCCGACCTTTATTGAATGGCTAATCCTGGCCTGGGTCAGTGGTCTCATCTGGAGCGAGGTGAAGCAGCTGTGGGATGTGGGTCTGCAGGAGTACCTCAACGACATGTGGAATGTGATCGACTTTGTGACAAACTCCCTTTACGTAGCCACTGTGGCTCTGCGGGTGGTTTCATTTTTTCAGGTAAGAACAAGGCTATTGTATGTAGTAAAAAATAGTATTTATTTCTTTTTGTTTAGGTCCAAAAAGAGATGATATACAACTCGCATGCCACGGATCTGCCGCGAGAGCGATGGGACGCCATGGATCCGATGTTGATATCGGAGGGCTTATTCAGTGCGGCGAACATTTTCAGTAGCCTCAAGCTGGTTTATATATTCTCGGTGAATCCGCATCTGGGGCCACTGCAGGTGTCGCTGTCCCGGATGGTGATGGACATCATGAAGTTCTTCTTTTTATATGTCCTGGTCCTTTTCGCTTTTGGAAGTGGTCTCAACCAGTTGCTGTGGTTAGTAAATGTTTTAAAAAATATCCAAAGCTCCTCTTGGTTTTAAGTAATTTGAAGAACACAAAACTAGACACAAGATTTGTTAATTTGTATTAAATATAATTTTTATATTTTTTAGGTATTATGCGGATCTGGAGAAGAAGCGTTGCCCCGAGGTTTCTCCCATGAGTGCTCTCCTAAACATGAATGGCACTAATGACCCAAATGCTTGTATTGTATGGCGCAGGTTTTCTAAGTAAGTCATGCATTTCCTTATATAAACTAATTAGTAACTTATCTGATGTTCCCTTAGTTTATTTGAGACCACCCAAACACTTTTCTGGGCTGTCTTTGGCCTGATTGATTTGGACAGTTTCGAGTTGGATGGCATCAAGATCTTCACCAGATTCTGGGGCATGCTGATGTTTGGAACCTACTCTGTTATAAATATTGTTGTGCTGCTTAACCTGCTCATTGCCATGATGAATCATTCGTATCAACTGATTTCGGTAAGATTTTTAAAATACGTCTTATTAATATTTCAAGTACCTAAAGTATTTATTTGATCTTCTAAGGAACGTGCTGATGTGGAGTGGAAGTTTGCTCGGTCAAAGCTGTGGATTAGCTACTTCGAGGAGGGCGGAACCTGTCCACCACCATTTAATATTATACCCACTCCGAAATCAATTTGGTATAACCATTTAGGGCTTTTTGATTAAATGACACTAAATGAATTCCACATATTTTCTTTGGTAGTTACGCCTTTAAATGGATGCGTCGCATCTTCTGCAGCGGATCCTCTGCTGCTCGAAGGGAACATCTCAAGACAATAAGAGTGAGTAACACACTTTTTTTTGCGGCAAATACATAAATATATCATTACATATATATAGCATATATATACACCTTCTGCAAGAGTATAAAACTCACGAATTCAGTAGTAAATTTGAGTTTTTGGGTCTTCTTTGAAAGTAACTTTACCTATCCTGCAATCCTTTGCAGCGAAAGGCTCAACAGGCCAGCGATCGGGACTTCAAGTATCAGCAGATAATGCGAAATCTGGTGAGGCGTTATGTAACTGTGGAACAGCGAAAGGCCGAATCCCAAGGCGTAACCGAGGACGATGTCAACGAGATCAAGCAGGACATATCCGCCTTCCGGTGCGAGTTGGTGGAAATACTCAAGAACAGTGGCATGGACACTAATGTCACCGCTGGTCAGGGTGGTGGTAAGCGGATATAAATCGCTTGGGATTACTAACAAACCTCTATTTGAATGGGTTTTCTATCTGCCCACAGGAGGTGGTGGCAAGAAAAACCGCCAGAAGGAGCGTCGCCTGATGAAGGGTTTCAATATCGCACCGCCTGGATCCACGGGATCGCTGGCACCCGTGGCCGAGTTCTCCACCTCGCTGGACAACTATGACAACCAGCACGAGATCCTGAGTTCCACATTGTCCACTCTTTTTACTCCCAACTTCATGCACAAGCGCCAGCATAGTCAGGCGGGAAGTGGGGGCGGTGGATCGGAGTCACCGACCACGCCCACCCAGGGAAATCCCGGTGCAACAATGGGCTCCAATGGTCTGGTTACCAAGTACAACAAGTCCGCCCTGAAGCCGTACAATAAGCGCATTGCGGGTCACAAAAAAAGATGGGGTAGGTATTTCATATATAGCAAAGATTTTAGAAGTATTGATAATCTTCCTGTAAAGAAGCATTTTAACTTTAAATATCTTTATTTTGTTAGGTACTTTAATTGAAGCCGCCAAGGTTGGCAACGTCAGCAAAATGCTGGGACGCTCGAAGTCTGAGGACTCGGTGTGCAACTCCTCGCACACAGCCACTCCGGTTCATGGTCAAATGCGGGTCACCTATGCCCAGAACTCGACCCAGCAGGGCTATGGTTACCATGGAGAGGCCAGTTCCACGGGAACATCTACATCCACATCCACATCCACACCAACTCCCACGATTTCGGTGGCCAGCAATTCGCCAGCAGCCCATGTGGGAGTAGGATCGCACTTCTTTCATACAACGAGCGGTAAGTTAGAATTTAATATTTATATATAATTTAATTCTTATTTAATACTTATTTATTTAATATTTATTTAATATTTATTTATTACACAGGTCTTACAGCCATCGCCGCGCTGAAACGCAAACGCAAAAAGTTCTCATCGAGCAAGAATATTTGCCCAGTAACCGAATCCGTGGCAGCGGCAAATGCTGCTGAAATACTAAACGACAAGGCGAGTTCTTTATAGATTATTTGTGGTAATAAACTAATTAATGTATTTTGTGTGCCAGACCCTGAAGCGTGTGTCCAGTTATCCGGCAGCCGAGGCCGGAGTGCAGCACAAGGATCCGGCCCAGCTGGTGAAACCTCGCCGGCACGAGCAAACCCAGAGCCAACACGACTCGGTGGAGACCAACTCGACCTTCACGCTGTCCATCGATCCATCCAACACGTCTGTGAACTCCAGGGAGCCGCTGATCAGCACCAGTTGCGTTTCGACAACGGGAGCCATTGGCTGAGGGAATTTTCGGGGGTTGAGTGGGGCAGAAATACCAAAGATTAGGCAGAGAATATTTCCGCAAGCTGGAAATGGCCAGAGATATCAATGATAAAGCAGCTAAACTATTTAGATGGCGCACCTGAAGCATACACATAGATACTATATACAGATACACATTGTTGACATTTTTGATATGAAGACATAACTAACTAAGAAAGCTACAACCAACACAGCCTAGATCTTAAATTACCTCACCACGTTAAGATATAGAGACCATTGAACGAATTAGCACACAAACTCAATAACTGTTAATGAAAACACCTAAAAATAATATTTTCCATACCTCAACATAACATTTTATAATTATTTGAAATTCTTTAGCCTACAATCTTCTACCTTTCACGAAACTATCGAATCTACTTTAAACAAAAAAACAAAAACATTTAATGAGTTGTTGTCCTAAACTTTTCATTAAATTCTTAGTTATGTTCGTCCGATTTTAAAAAGCTTCAATATTTTTATATTTCACCTGAACCACAAAGCACACATATCATGCAAGCGCTTTATAGAGAAACCTTTTACACCAAAAACAAAATATCAACTTGATGTCAAGTTGGAAATATAGATCCAGTAAAGTCCTTTACCAAATACAAATACTAAACTATCCCATATCGATGTTGAACGTTGCCTTAGCATGAAACATATTTTTTATACACATAAGTTTTGGATGAACATTGAATTACTGAAACGTACTGTAGCCGTAACGAGGGAAGCGCTGTGTATTTCTTGAATTGAGAGAATGGATTTTAAAACCAAGGATTTGTTGTTGTTCCAGCAAGCAAGCAAGTAAGCAGAAAAGCAAAGCAACGCTAAGCAAACGCAAAGCAAAATAAGTAAATAAATCAAAGATAACACAATTTTATACACCGATTTTAACCAACACGACAAACAATAATCGAATCGCATATATAAAGAATACAAGGATATGAATAATCGAAATTTTTAGATGATTTTTTGCGTTAATGTAGACAAATACCCACACAAATACGGAATATCAACGAAAACAATAACAAGGAATATCATATAGCATTTTATATAAAACAATTATTTTGGAGTAGCAAAACTTTGACTTGCACTTGTGCAACACTTTTTGCTGCTGCCAGAAAAATAGAAGCAAACTATGGAGGCAAAAGGAATACCAAATACAATGTTAGACTAATATAAAAATTGTTATTTGCACGGAAACATAAACTAATAAAATATATCGAAACGGATTTTGACTAAACTTGTTTTGAGCATAACTAACATTTTAAGAAGCTAGCTTTGGCGAGCCGAAGCTTATCGGCAAAACCCATTTTTTGGAAAATTGAAAAAGGGTTATATCCTAAAAAAAATTGCAAAAAAATCGACCAAAAATTAAACAATTATCTAATGATATCTTATATATTCTTGTGTAACCTTATTATTATTCGTACTGTGCCCACCTTTATAACAAAGACTTTACTTTTATTATTTGTATATCGCATTTATTTTAAATGTTTCATATATATTTTGCAAATAAATTTTATAAGTTGTAAACATAGAAACATACATAATTTCCATTTATTTATCATTTGATTCCGATTTAAGTTTGTTTATTTATTTATATATATATATATATATATATATAATTTTTTTAATTTGCATCAAGCAAATGTTTATGCTTTACATGAACAAACATTTGTTTTATTTCGTGTATTTTTTTGGATTTTTGTAGTTTTTTAGATAAGATTCCGTTTTGTATAATTCACATTAAATGCTATGGAAAGAAACAATTACATTTAGTTTAATTTATTTAATTAGAAAAATAATAATAATTGGAATATAAATCACTTTGCCTAGTTGGGGCTGCTATCGCCACTTGGGACAGCCTGCGAAAAGAGTCGGGTCGAATTTGTTTAGTTGGTTATGAAATGCAACAGTTGGATTGCCAGCGGATATAGCAGCCCCAACTGGGGTTGCCTTGGTTTTCTCGATTCTGCTTGTCGTTTATAATATGTTTATAATAAATTGTGTAATAATTCGTATAAAAAGGTTGTGAGAATGAAAGAAGCGTCTGCTGTTTTACATATATCTATGTTTTGTATATATATATTTATATATCTGCGTAGATTGGAGCGATCGGGGAAACAATTATACAGCACTGAATACTTGTAGCTAGTAGTCTAATAAATTCATACTTTTCGTTTAATTATTCGTTCTGCATTTGCCCTCCGCCCCATTCACAATTCGGTTACTCTTTTAGCTACTTAGGAGTGTCTTTAGTTGGTTCAATTTGTTGACCAGCTATCTACAATCGTTTTGTTTGTTGTTGGAATACACTTTACAAAAAGTCTTGTAAAAAAATCATTCGCCATGGGCGGGACCACGCCCCACTGGCTAGTTCTACACATAATATACACGAATTTAACATACCCGCCGGGAGGACAAATGCTTGGGAGCCACAAATTAACAGCTTGAAAAGCAATTCGGAACAGGTGATCCATTAGGTTCTGCTGAAAGGCTTACGAATCGTTCGCTGGCTGCTCTTTTGTTTATAGCACATATGGAGATTAGACTTTCGTTTTGTGACAACAAATATTATAAGTAAATACCATTATTAACATTTAGCTGTGTGAATGTTTGCTGTTGCGGTTTTGTGTACATTTAATACAATTATGGGGGATCTGCCTTCTCCTCATCTCATCTCATTCCATCCCTTTACCTCACTTCTATTCTTATTTCGTTTCGCTATTTTTGATTTCCTGTTCTGCTTGTTTTGTTTGATTTAAAATTAGACAATATACAGTTTGATTTTGTTACGGTATACATATAAAAAATACATAGTTACAACTAATGGTTTAAATCACTTCTTTGAGACATAAAGTGTTTCCTTTTTGTTTTCAACTTCAACGCCTGTCGTTTGCCTGCAAATTTCTATTTTCTTTAATATCCCGCCTTTACTTCATTTTTAGCCCCTCAACATGTTGACAAGCATGGCGACCAGGAAAGTGCCCACTAGGAAGGAGACCACAATGCAGACGGCCTTTTGTTGGTCACTCAGACGCCTCCGGTTGGAGTACAGTGAAGTCAGCTTGCCGACGATCCGCCTGAGTCCGCCCGCCTGGGCCAAACTGGAGGAGATGGCCGCCGCCGTTGAGGGGCTGGAACTCGAGGAGCTGATGCCCATTCCGGTGTGCGGATGGTGGGCGTGGTGCATGTGATGCGAGTGGTGCATGTGGTGCTGATGCTGATGGTGCGCGTCCGTGGATCCGGCCATTCCACCGGCTCCTCCGCCGACGCCGCCGCACGTCTGATGGTGATGGTGATGATGATGATGATGGTGATGCAGGGGATCTGCGCACGCATTGAAACCGGACAGCTCCTGCTGCAGTCGCCCGATGGCCACGGGATCGGCGCCGACTCCACTCGCTCCACTGATGGCCGACGCACTCACCGACCGCATGTGCAGGCCATTGGTCGATCCACTGCCGGCGGACAGTTTCCGGCTGCTCCTCTGGTGGTGAGTGGCGGCCACCGCCGGCGGTGCCGTCGAGCCGTGCAGGTGGTGGTGGCAGGTCGCCGAGCTGGGGTCCAGGTCACTGGGCACCTGATAGCGCAACGGACTCGACGGCTGACCGTATAGAAGCTCTCCGCCCGACGCTATCCGCACGGGACACACGCGGAACTGGTAGCAAGTGCCTGCGGCCAGGTCAATGGGGAACTTGGTCTCCGGGCCGCGGTACAGTTGCCTGTAGTCCTGGTTGGCCAAATTAACTGGGGCACCGTTCGAACTGCCACTGGAACTGCTGCTTCGTCCTTTGGGCGAAAGGGACTCACCTTCCAAGTCCGCCGCGCCCAGGACAGCGTATTGCAGCTCGTACTCGACGCGATCGTGGAAGGAGTTCTTCGAGTGCTGCCACTCCAGAGTGAGTTGCATGCCCAGCTGGCCGGGCAGCTCCATCAGGCAGACGCTACCCTCTTGGACAACTCGCGGCGGCTTGATGTTCGCCGGCAGCGTGGCCGAGGTCTCGAACACGTACTCCTCGGAGTAGTCGCCATCGCCGGCGCGATCCGTGTGGGCGTAGATCCGGAAGGTATAGCTGCTGCGCTCCTGCAGCTTGTGCACCTTGCACATGCAGTTCGTTCCGGAGTAGACGGCCTGGAACTGCTTCGCCCGGGCGACATACATCTCCACAAAGTACTTGGTGAAGTCACCGCCATTGCCGGAGGGATTGGCGCTGGTTGGCTTGCCAGTTCCGTTCTCGCCCCACTTCAGCTTGATGTAGTTGTGCCCGGCGCCGCTGCACTCGAGACGGGGTGGCGCCGGCGGAGCCGGCTGGGTGGTCAGCTTGGCATAGGCACTGAAGGCTCCGGCTCCAATGGCATTTACCGCCTGCACACGGAACTTGTAGCCGGTTTCCGGCATTAGACCATTGACCGTATAACGTGTACAGGCATCCGGAGTGGCGATGGTCCGCTCGCCGTACTCAATGTTGTAGGAGCAGATGGGCGAGCCGTGGGCAGCCGGCTGCGTCCAGTTGAGGGTCACCGCCTGGGCGGTGAACTCGTAGCCCTGCATCTGCGGAGCGCCTGGCACCGCGGCCGGTGTGCATACGCTTATCACGTCGGAGGAACTTCCTGTGCCGGCCGAGTTGCTCGCCTGGACGCGGAAATGGTAGCGGGTGTAGGGCGTGAGGTTTCTCAATTCCGCGCACGTCTGCGGTCCCTGGTAGCAGTTGTGGAACTCGGAGCTGGACGGTTCCTTGTCTTCCTGCTCGGTGTCGTCTTCCCTCCGCTCCTGGCTGGCACTCTTCAGCGTGTAACTGGTCACCGGGGCTCCGTTCTCCTGCAGCGGCGGCTGCCAACTGACACCCAAATGGGTGGCCGACTTGACCAGCACACGCAGCTCCTCGGGAGCTCCGGGCGCAGCAGCTGCGGCCGTGAATCTCATCCACTGGGACCAGTTGCCGGCTCCGATGCGGTTGATGGCCCTCACCTGCGCCTCGTACATGCCGCCTGGGACTAGGTCCTGCGCCACAAAGTACGCCTGCTTGCCTCGGTACACCAGCTGCGGTGGCTGAACCTGCTCCAGTCGTCGCATCTGGGCTTCGAACTCCAAAACGGGAGCTCCGCCATTGTACTCCGGATGCTGGAGCTTCAGGAGGGCGGCGTACGGCGAGGGTGCGTCACTGCAGTGCGGCGGTGGCGGGGCAGACGGCGGTATCGCCTCCGTGGTAACGTGTCCAATGTCCGAGTAGGGACTCTGACCCGCCGGACCTTCGCAACAGGTTCGCAGGGCGTAGGTGGTGCCCGGCTGGAGTCGTTCGCACATGGCCTCTGTCTCGGCCCCACTGTAGATCCTCTCGAACGCCGGACCAGCGGCACTTAGCTCCAAGTGATAGCGAAGGATCTCGGCACCGCCAGCATCGCTGGGTGCATCCCATCGAGCCTTGAATTGAGTGCCGTGAATCTTTCCCTTGGCATGGGGCTTGCCCGGTCGGCCGGGACGTTCCGCCAAGGTGCGATAGCTAACTTCGGGAGACCAGGGCGATAGGCCCGCTTCGTTCTCGGATCTCAGACGGAATTGATAGCTGCTGGCCCGCCGCAATTGCAGGCACTCCGTTTGCAGCTCGGTACCCTTGTAGGTATTCAGGTAGCCATGGCCCGACTCGGCATCCTGCAGCTGCAGCAGGAAGTCTCCATCCTGTGCCCTTCGCTCCCAGCCCAGTTTCAGGGAGCTCGAGGTTCTGTCGAGGAGTTGAGGAGGTTTTGGCACTGGTGGAGGATTTCCGGAGGTGCTGTAGCTGGCCACCGGAGAGTAGGGACTCTGCCCCGCTTCATTAACCGCTGCCAAACGGAAACTGTACACCGTGGTGGGTTGCAGTTTGCCAATGACATAGTGCTTGGTCTTGATCTTGGCCAGCTCGACAAACTTTTGCGCTTGGCCCGCCATCCTGCCCTCATCGTATTCCAACAGATAGTGCAGTATGCTGGCCCCGTTCGCTGCCGGAGCAGACCAACGAAGGTTTATGGAGCTCTTGGTCCGGGAAAACAGTTTGGGAGGCAACGGCTGATCCGGTTCACAGGCTGGAGTGCGGAACTCCGTGGGTTCGCTTACGGTTCCCTCGAGTTTTTGTAGTGCACCTGTAGGCGAACCAGGTAATCCTGTCCCGGCTGCAGATCCTGGACAATGCACTCGTAGGCTTCTCCGCGGTACAAGCTCTTGTACTTGCACTGTTTTCCGGAATCACAGAGGAGCACTTCGTAGCGGAGTTGTCGCATATCGACGGTTAAGGCATCCGCAATGGCCGGACTCTCCCAGATGATCTTGGCTGCCCGCGACGTAACATCTATCACCTCCGGCTTCTCAATCGCCGAGATTTGCTCAATGATGGAGGTTAGGTAGCTCTCCTCTTCATCGCCGGCCAGGCTGGAGTTATCCTCGCCGTCCTCGGACGTTCCCACGGAACTGGCTCCGCCCACACTGCTCCCGGTTCTCTGCGGATTCTGGGTGTTCCCGTTCCGCGATTGTGGCTGCTGCTGCTGTGGCACCTGGTGGCTCTGCATCTGGTGAAGTTGCGGAAGGCGACGTCCCTGATGGTTGCTCAAGTGGTGTTGGCTGCTCAGGTGGGCGGTTAGTGGGACGCCCAGAGGAATGTTGTTATTGTTGTGACCATTCAGTTCGTTGGCACGGCGCGGAGATGGCGAATGCGGAGGATCTGCACAAAGATTAAGTAAATTAGTAAAAGAATAGGTAGGGAAATCCGAAATGATTGTATAATTCGCTTAGCTAAGAAAACTGGGAAGGCTGCTCCTTTGAACTCAAGATTTGTTTTCCCTGGCTAAGCGAAATATTTAGGGTGCAGGATACTCACTTGACTCCCGCTGCTTCTCCAGCTTCCTGAGCAGCTTGTTGTGCTGCCGCTGGCTCCGCTCATCCCGGTAATTGGGCGGCGAGGGCGAGTGCGGGGAATGTGGGTGTGGCTGGGGGTGTGTGTGCGAGTGGGCATGTGCGTGGGAGTGCGAATGGGTGTGAGAGTGGGTGGCTGCCCCAGTGGGAGCTGCTCCTTGCGGTTGGCCTGCTACTCCTGCAGATCCTGCAGTTGGTGCCCCTTGGACTGAAGGTTGGACTGCCTGCTGCTGCTGCTGTTGTTGTTGTTGTTGTGGAGGAGGTGCTCCTTGAGGTGCCTGCTGCTGCGGTGGTTGCTGGGGCGGAGGAGCCGGTGGCAAGTGGTAGTGGGGCGGCCCGTTTCCAGCAGGTCCTGGGCCAGGATATCCCGCCACTGGGGTGTAAAAATGCGAAGTGCCATTGGCGCTTATCTGCAATAGATTGGAGAACACATTCAATAACCATGTAAATGTTTATCTATGTAAACTATAAACAAAAGTACTTTAATAAGAAGCGTTTTTCCTTTCTGCTTTGAATCCTCCATCGTTGTGGCATTCAAAACTTATTTATTTGAAACACCACGTCACATTTAACACGCTGGCTAAATATATCTCGCGAATACGTCGACTCAAAAAATTGATAACAACTAATTGATTTTAGTGTTCTTATCTTTTCTTGACTTTTTTCGAAAAATTCACACGTTTTTCTTGAGCAATCAATTCTTTTGCCTTGTTTAGTTTTATTGATTTATTTAGGAACTAGTTTAACCCGTAAAAATTCAAATAAAGTGCGAATAACGAAGTTGAATTTAGTGTTAACTATTTTATTTTGTTGTTGGCCATTGGAATACACTAAAAAACACTTTTAGCCTTGCAGAATTTGCATCCCCACCAGCGTTGCCAGACGTCCCGATTTTGGCGGGACGTCCCGATTTTTAAATTAAAATTAAATGTCCCGCGCGGGACAGGTTCAGTCCCGCTTTTTTATGATAATTCGAACGTGCGGGCTGATGAAGCGCTCAGGAGTAAGAGAGGCGCGTGCGACTGCGACTTCCTTTCTTTCTCTTCGCTCTTTCCTTATTTGCATTTGCTTATAATTTTCTGTGTCACGAAAACGTACGATTATCAACGAAAGAATAACGATTACCATTTGTTTTAGTGCAGTGAAGCAGTAAATATTTTAAAAACTTCTGGTTATATACGTTTTTTATTATGTCCCGCTTTCGACGTAAGAGTCCCGCTTTTTTCACAAAAAAAGTTCCTAAGTCCCGACTTGGCAAAAAAAAAAACTGGCAACGCTGATCCCCACAGACACAACCCATGGTTCAGATTCCCGTTATGTTCTAGGTAGGTCCACCAGCACTGTTTAGGGTGACCAGAAATACCAAGTGTCGCAGCAAGCAGCTTTCTATTACGAACATGTTTGGTTATATACTATACAGCTATTAAAGATAATTTAGTTTCTAAGCTATTGGTACCTTTCAAAAAGATTTAAAAAATAAAATCTTTTCCTCCACAATAAAACTAAAGGTGTGTCAAGTTTATGAAAAATATCGTTAGCTTACCATATTTTAGGTCACGAAAATTAAATTATTATAACAGCAGTATATCAATGTTATGTTTGGGGCTTATGTGAATCGCTGACATATTTATTAGTGCGCTTGTTTTGAAATGTTTGAACTAAATTTCAAACACTAACGATTTCCTCAGCAGGTCATTAAATAAATTGCTTTTGTGGTAAATGGACGCACCCGCATGCTACACATATTAACTAAAAATTTCCAAAGTGGTCTAACTGATGATTGATAATTTGCCCACCAATCGCCCCAAAACTGTGGCGAATGTTTTTGCAAAATTTACTATAATTTTATGTTTTTACACGATTACAGTTGACCTTTTGGCTTTCGCGATTTGTAAATTTTAATGCGCTCCTCTCCACGGTTCTTTTGGGATGGTCATAAACTATGAAAAGCCAAAAATATGGGTCAAAGTTAATGAGTTTTTTGCGGTTTATGCCCGAAACGGCAGAAATAATAAAGGAGAACAAAAGAAGCCGGATTAACACATAGAAAATACAAAAAAAAAAAAAAAAAAAATACAAAGAAGCATTTAACTTTTGCTGCGAGGGAGTTTCGGTTTCGCTTTTGGTTTCAATGGTGCGACAGATACCGTTATTTCAAGTGCTTGACTCAAGTTGCATAATGGATACTACAACAGCGACTATGCAAATTAGCATACAATCAAATTATAAACATTTCAACATAAACACACAAGCGGAAACTGCCATTTGTAAGGTGATGTGTGCGAATCTCTGTGCGATGTAGACAGTGGCTCGGATTAAAGGGGTTTAGTGGATCCACAGAAATAGTTGAAAATTTATTCTCAGTTATCTGCTGGCCAGCTTAGCTTTCCTACATAAATTACTAAATAATTTATCGTTTTATAAACTGTTGAAAGATTTACTTTATTTTTTTGAAGCTTGGCCGAAAAGCCCCCTGAAAGTGATCCCAACTCTTGCCCATGTTTTCTTGATTGTGTGTTTCTGCGGTGGCAGAAAATTGTTAATTAAGTCAAGGAAAATTCAGCCTCAGCCAGTCAAGTCGGAATGGCGGAGTCAGTCGAGCAGCCACCGCCGGCACTTTCATTTCAGCAACAGAGCGTGACGAAGCCACATGTGTCCGAGCTGGAATCCGAGGCGGATGAAGTTGTTGCATTAATCAAGTTTTCCACTGCGAAAACGGCATTAGGTATGGCGGGTTATGTAAAAATGTGACAGCAAAGTTCAGCTCAAGTGGAGTTCAATTAAAAGTCATGAGCAACAATGTAGCCAGCAGCGGACACGACCAACCATCAACATTACATGGCTTGCACTAACTAACTTTAGATAAAACAACAGCTAGACTCTACAAATTGCTATGCAAATCGGTAGTTTCCTTAGGCCTGTACAACATTATTTTAAGGCTGGCCATTTAACTCATGTGTTTCCCTTTAGTTAGCTGAGTTTGAAAGAACCATGGATTAAAAGTCCTTATGGTTTAATTTTGTATTTAGAAATTTAAAGGAATACATTTAAAAGACCAATGATTGTTTTTGCCATTTCAAATAAGATAAAACATTTTATTTTATGGCCAACATTTGTTATTCATTTGTTATGTCGAAAATATCGAATAAATCAACTTCAAAGTGTCATTAAATAAAAGTCTCTACAGATGAACGGGGAAAATTATATTATTCACTGTGCAATTAATTCTGATTTTAATTGAGCGATTGATAATAATACAGCAAGCGGAGGGGCGAACCCGAAGAGGAGACTTGGGCAATAGAATTTAAATTGCGCTAGGCGCTAGTCCACAACCGGATTGATAGTCTGGACCAGTCCAAGTCACGAACTCGGGGCTGTCGGGCCAACTCTTGCTCCTCGGTCAACCATTTTCCCGCTATGGAAATGAACATTTTTCAATTTGGACTCGGATTTCGTTAACAATTTCTGCACATAAAAGAGATGATGGGAATGTTTATGCTGTACAATGAAATTGTTATTATTAAATTATTAGACATAAGTGGCGGCGGGAGCAACAGATGGAGGCTTAAAACGTGATGTGAATGGGTAACGCTCATCTGCTTCGGTTAACAATCGCTTTTTTTTCGTTCGTTGTCATTTTGCAAATTAGCGAGGCAATTTAAATGGAATGCAGCAGCCCTCGACTATAAACTTGGCCATCACCATGGGAGCGAACTAGTTCCGCATGTCAATGGGCCTAGAAATGTGATATTAAATCCGAATTAGGCAATTTGTAGCCGTTATATTGTTAAATTTCACTCAATTTACGGTAATAAACAATTTTTTAAATTGAATTAGGACCAAAAAAAGTGCATTGAATATATAATTGGTGGTGAGATAAAGACCTAAAATTATACACATTTTATAAAAAAGAATCCAAATTAAGTATTAAAGCACATTTCTTGTTGCCATTTTAGTTTTTCCAAAGAACACTATCAGTCAACCTGGTTATCGACCGCACTTTTCCCCTTTCAGTTGGCAAACACCTACTCCTAACTAGTTAATTAGCATTCAGGGCAAATACCTTTTGCGGAGAGATTGTCAAATCTCACACCTAAATGACAACTCGAGAAATGCAATGAAACAAATTCAGATAGCAAGCAACTGACTACCTCAGAATGCATTCTCCATTCAAATATTTGCGCACAGTGAGTCAGAAAATGAGCAATGCAAATGGGACTTTGGAATTCTGCGAAACGGATTAATTAGTTGCACAATTTGCACACTTTCCCGCCCAACATGAAATGGGGGAAATGCAGGCAAACAAAACGATATTGCAGTTAAAAAACTAGACTTACGCCAACCATTGAATAAATAATAAATGTAAAAGTGCCAACAGCTGGCCAACTGTTTTTCCGTATTGTTTTTGTTTAAACTTCATTTTAATTGTTGTTTTGTTTGAGTAAAAGTTTATCCATTTCAGGCTATTGTTTAGGCGCAGTTCAGTTTCATAATGCATTAGCACGACTCTGGTAGCAATTGAATAGTGTTCAGTTTTCCAGGAACCGCTGCACCCGGATCCAATCCGGTTTGTTTGCCGCACACGGCGACGTTTGTTCAATAAATTATTTTTACAGACGCCCCCAATGCAAGTTTCATTCGAAAATCGAATAAGCAAATGGGAATTATTGCTGCTGATTGCTGGTTGTTCGCTCAATTAGCTGTCAATTAATTGATAAGCGGAGGAAGTCCCGCCAATGGGATGGAAATGAGATACCGTCTTCCCTTTCCGATAGGGTATACTACAGTTTTATCAATTCGATTGCCAACTGTTTGCTCATTGTTTACGATTTTCCGTTTCAGTTGAAGTGCGCATCAGTATCAATTTATTAATTTATAAGGAGTTCCGTAGCATATTGACATAAATTAAAGTTGATTTTATTTTCTGAACAACGAAAAGTGCTCGTAACTCAACAATGTTGTCACCTAATTGAAGTGGTTGTTTATTTTTAAGAGCTTCTATAAATCTATAATCAAGCAAATTACGACTATGGTTGTTAGAGAGAATAAAAAAAATAAGAACAATAAATATTATATCCTTGGATAAAGCACCTGAGAATGTTTTATTTTGAATAAACAAAAAAACAATCGAAGCCTTTCAATATTTAAACAGGAATATTTACATAAAAATGTTACGGGGAATTTAATTCGAATTCACTATGGCAACCACTTTATCTTGTTAATTTCCGATTTTATCGTTAAGTGTAACGTGTAACAATGAAATACACTTACGAAGGGCGCTGGATGGAGGTGTCCCTGGCCAGGATGCAGCTGCTGGTACTGCTGCGGCGAGAGCATCACGTGGGTCAGCGTTCCGTTCTCGTTGACGTACTGCGGCACCTGGACGGGCACCGGCATTGGGGGCGGCGGTCGGTTCTGGGAGACCATCTGAACGGCGGGACCTGAAAGTAGCGAGCGAGAAAAGGGGGACAAATTACTTAAGATTCTTCAACAGCCGGCAATATGCTGATGATGTGTGCCAGTGTGTGAGCTGCTGGTGTGAGTATCTCGCAGATACGATATAATACCCATACATGTGCACACATAGTATAGTCATAGTCATGTATGAGGACACAAGTTAAAGCAGGCGACAGCTGGCGCCAGCGAGGCGACAGCGAGACACGCGGGAGCAGGGACGAGTGGTGAAAGGGGGAGGGGGGTAGGAGGGGGTAGCGCCAGGACATTGCCAGGACAGCCATTGCTGCTTTATGTCAGCGGCGATTTCTCTGTGTTTGTTTAATGGATATCTCTCGCTCTCTAGTCGTCTCTCTGTCTTTTTGTGGATGTGTGCAAATATATATGCACAGAAAAGAATTTATTATTTAGTTCACATCTCTCCTTAGAGAGTACAAACTATAGTTATTAGCAGTATTCATAAATAAATATTATACTAGTTTAAAAAAAGATCCACAGATATTATGCGGTTTTAACTAGAATTTTTTGTATGCAAACATGCATCATGCTTTTAGTTTGGAAAAGTATTTTTTTTTTACAAACAGAATATCAAACAGAAAATTGTATTTTCCCTCACAATCACCCTTTTTATTGTCAAAGTGTAAACATTTGAATATGTATGTTTGTGTTTGCTGCAGCCAACAAAATGCTTGACAGAGTCTGCCAATTTCTGGCTCCCTCGTCGCCTCAAACTACTCAACTACGATACGCATACGCACCGTTGCCCAATTCCGATTTCATTTGCAATTTAAGTCTGCCCGATGATTAATATCCAGCCCACCCAGTCCCCCTCCCCTTTCCGCTCCTGTCATAGGCACTGCACTGCCCCCGACCCTTCAATAGTTGGCTTTAATAAATGTGTTGGAAACATAGAAATCTCTAGAGCAAACATTTCTTGGCAGCCTCGTTTCGTGGAAAGAAAAATCGAGAATTTTAAAAGCGACCGGAGGGGTGAACAAACGAATTTTTCGGGCTTTTTGGCAGAGCATCGAAATGGGAATCAGAATCATAGCCTTTGCATTGTCTGGATCTGTTTCGGGCTCTGGTTTCGCCACTGTCATTAGGGCCAGGGGTTGGGCGGTGGATAATACTAATACTAGAACTAGCATTGCCATTTCCATTTCCACTCCATCTGGGGATCCATTTCAACTGCAACGTTGTCGCATGTCATTGCCACAGAATAAACGACAGCAGAACGCCCCGAAAGTTGCCCCCTCAAACATTTCAGATATATTTTGATTTGTGGATTTGTATTGCTTTTCAATTCTATTTCTCTTCGGCTTGCCTCCATCTTTTTTGGCTGCATTGCGACGAAGGAAATAATGGTTGAAGCTAAAGATTGGAAATAAGCAAACATTTGTTAACAGACGATGTCTGGTCGAGATTAGTGCATAATTCCCCATGATAAATGATAAGTCCCCGAATGGCCAGCCAATCCGTTTGATAAAACTCTTTTTTAAGTGGAATAGTTAATAAACCATTTTAACCTGTATATTTTAATATAAAATGCCCTGCCTGATCATTAAGCATTGCTTTTAATTATTCAAAAGTTATAGCCTTTCTTTTTTATTAATAAAAATATTGAAGCATAAAAGATTAAATATTTGCCCTCACTTGACGCCGTTTCGCAAATTCCCACGCTCTCCATTCCTATAAATATTTAAAAACGATCCGAAAAAAAACGAGTGAGAAATCCATGTTCATCATAAAATGCATTCCATGTTTGCACATCAATATGGATGGGTTAAAATGCGATTCCCAGCTGCAGCACAGCACTTTGCATGCCGAGGCACGTAGAAGAGCCGTGGACACGCCCACTGGTGGCCCCCTTTCGTATTTCCCACTTCTATTATTTTTCCCAGCGAAATGCCTTTTTTCTTCTCTTTGCTTTGTGTTCTTTTACGCCGGCTAAACAATGCAGAGTTGCATTTTTTATGGACACTAGGCTGCGTATGCGTAATGTCGGCTAATGGATTGTGGGGAGGTTATCGTGTGGTTGTGTTCGTGTGGGGATTCCCTCGCTTTCGCTTTAATAGATAAATTGTAAACTTAACGGTAATGCGGCTGCTAATACGCTTAGCCATGTCTCGCACTCATTGAGGCCGAAAATGCTGGGCCCCGACGTCCAATCAGGCATTAAATGCCATCCGCCGTCTGAAACTTCTAGACTAGTCGGCAGCCCATTTGTCCGGAGTCTCTTGATCTGCTCTTAGGTGTAAAAATGTTGGTTTAGTGCGCTGACGCATAATGCGACAGAAAAGCGGAAAACCGATGATGGCTGATAAACTGAAACCAAGAGTTCTCCCTCCTTTCCACAATGGCCAATGCAGTTAATCATTCTGAGTGGGTAAGAAGGGTTCTTCACCGGTAGGAAGTGCGGGGGATTTTAGGGGACGGAGAAGATTGTCTGGCCAGGAAATGCACACCGTTGCAGGGAGGAAGATGGGTGGCAACTGAATTTCCCCTCAAGTGTTAAAAGGCTGCAATTAGTTAGGCGAAAAGCGGGTTGCGGACTGGACTGGCGGGGAGAGCTTATCACTTGCCCAGCAGACAGACAGTTAAATTAAGTACCATACTTCAGCGACTAAACCTCCCCGTCTTCCCCCCACACGAATGTCTGCAACTTCTGCTCAAACTTAATTAATGCTAAACTGCTTAAGGAGCGATTTGGGGTTGGGGTTTTTGAAAGTAAGCTTTTGGGAAAGGAAAGTGTAAGTCACCTAGAAGTTGAAGGAGGTATCTAGACAAGTATGAAGTGTTTAGCAACTTTGAGTTTACCGACTCATCGAGTTATTTTTTTTATATTTTCATTTTTTAAGTCATAATAAGTTAAAAGAAGCGAAGTATAAATAAAACTTTAATAAATAAAAGCACAAAATATAGTAGTAAAGCATTTTAAATATATTAGGTAGATAATTAAGAAGTGTGAAGGTTTTGCTTGTGTTTTACTACCCAAAATTTCTATCAACCGCCGCCAGATTGCCATCTCCCACTTGAATTTTCTGCCCTAATGCGTCGACCTTGTCCCGTGCACCACCTTAACCCTGTTTGGCTGTTTAACCCGCCTCCTCATCTTTTTGGCAGACAGTGTCAAAATAAAGTTGCGACTGAAACGCGTTTGGGCTAATTGCAAATTGTTATTGCTTTCCTGTTGTTACGCATTGTTGAACCACTTCCTATTCTCCTGCCCTCAGACTATCATTTGTTCAGTTAGTCAGTGTAGAGGGGTCGGGGTCAGAGGTCAGGGCTCTTGTCTGGAGGTTTCGATTGCTGGCAGCACGCACACGCATAACACGCACAAAATGTCTATAAAATTAATAACAAGTCGGTTAGCAGCCAAAACCAAAACTTTGATTGGGGTGATTGAAGTAGGGAATTGGCTCGGATTGAATGTGCTGTTTGATACGTTAAAGTGAGTTATTGCCGATGAATTTATCTTATTATATAAATATTTTATATATTATTCTCATCCACGTTTGCTTTTGATGAATGCCCAGGGAGTTGAATAAACTTTCGATTGTCTTGAGCTTGATTTATGGCTCTTTTCGATTGGAGTTTATGCAAATGACTTCTGTGAGGGTGTCAATTTGATATTATACTGTTGATTGAGAGCGACAATTCCTCCGGGCTTTCCATCTTTCGCTTTGATGTTCTCGATAATTACCCACCAAATCTGGACCGATTTGCGGTTAGTTGGCTCATTATGAGCAACACTTTTCCTCACTTATCTTACGTTTTCATCTCAGGGTAATTGCGTGTCTCTCACCAATTCTCTTTTTCCCTACAAATCCCTCTTGCCCATGAATTCAAACCCAATTAACGATGCGTGCGCAATTATCTCCATAATTATGATGAAACAAACACACAAAAAAAAAAGCTTTCGCAAAATGCAATTAGAGCAGAACATTCACGAATTCCATCATGGAAAGCTCTGGCAGAAAATTTCTTAAAGCATTCTCTTCAGTTTGCCGGCGACAAGGCATTAATTGCGCATACGCCCCGTTAAACGGTTGCCCACAAATCGAAGGCAACAAAATGCTCTAAGACTCATTGATTGATGGTTTGTCGAGCGGGTGGAAAAACCAGGGGGGTGGTTACAAAAATGGGGGAGGCTGTGTTCCCAGTGGGTCGTGGCAAAGAAGCCGGGAGCCTCCTAATGCCATTTGACAGCCCGCACGTGTGCCACGTTTTGTTTCGTCGTTCCACTGAAAGTTGGAACTTGTCTCTACCTTTGATAAAATATATGCTAAAAATATATAAAAATTTATAAATCAATTATTTTGTTTTTAATTGTATCATTTTAGGAATTTTACCAATAATATTCGCTTTAGTTTTTATTTCAAAAGTAAAGAACTTTTCCAATTAAAATATTGCCAGCCTGTTAATATGCGAATGTGTATATTTCAATCTTTTACCATATAATCTTTTTTTAAATATCTTAAAAGCTATTTATATTGACATTTTTCCAGTGATTGTTGACTGTTGATTTTAATTTCCAATATCTTTGACGAGGCAAACATACAGCCTCTGCCTACATTTGCCCCCCACTCATTCAAATATTGGCTCTCGTATGTCACCTAAGTGAAGTCCTCATAGAGAACGGCAAAATGGATCAACAAAAAAAAGAAAGGAAACAGGAAAAACGTTGAAACAGCCGTGAAATTTTTGGTGTCAGCAGCCAGGGGAAAAAAGGGGCGCTGCGCGTACGTGGGCGTGGCAACCAGATGTGACCGCCGCAGTAACACCCACGCATCTCCACCCATTTTGCAGAGGATATACACATTAATGTCTGCATACATATAAAAATACTCGTAGATATATATATACAGCCCGTCAACACATTATGCCTTCATTTATACTTTATGATGAGTAAATATTGTTATTAAAACGAAAAATTACGCGTTGTCTGAGCGATAAACCAAGGCCCCTCCCCAAAAGCCCGCCCTCT